GAACAGACCTTCTGAAAAGATCTGCAGGGTCACCTCTCCTGCAGAGCACAGTGATCAATTTAGTGTATAGGTGATGTGACAATCTTTTAGATACCTTGCTCTTAAGCTGTGTAGGGCTTCATACACCAGTTATCAGCAGCTTGAATTATGCTCAGTAGATAATTGGCAGCCATTCTTATAAAATGTGCTGTGATAAACCCTTTCTTTTCATTTGCAACATTTCAGAAGTGGTTAGTTTATATACTAGAAGGACCGTGTTGAGGTTTCTTAAAACAATGCTAATTTCCATGTCTTTAATATAAAACTGCTATGGAGAGCAGTCTCCAAATTTTCATTTTCTTAATAGAAATGTTCAAACGTACGCACTCCACTGTTTTTCAGAAGCAAAGTATTACCCTGATGTGAAAAGGACAGTATGCTGAGTGCAAAACCAATTATTTTGCCCAAAGCACCTAGAGTAGGTGTTTGCTGTATTTTTACTATCCGGCAGTTTCCTGTTTTTTTCTGCACCACCACCAATGAGAAGTGCCGTTAATTTTCAAAGCAGACGCTTTCAGATGGAAAATAGATACATAGGGATGGCAATCACAAAAATATAAAGCGATTAAAAAACAGTTCTAACTAGAGTTGTTCAAATAAAGAAAAATTAAAAACTCAATTAGAAACAAAAGTCATAGAAAATGTGAACATATTGTGTTCCTTAAATAACCAGATGTTCTTTTCTTCCTGAAGGCAGTCAAGCCTAGGAATAAAAGGTTTTAAACTATTGTTTTAAGTTAACTGTGAATTTTGCAAATCTGTTTTACCCTATAGCAAATAAAATTCTAATACAGCAACATAAGCAAAGTAATTTTCATCTTTGGGTGTATGTGGTTGCGCTAACCTTATCACTATGACTTATTATGAAGCTAAACTGCTATATAGAACATTACCATTTTAGATGATGTACAAAGAAGTTGCCAGCTATATTTTGTTTGAGTACTTACAGTAGTTGTCCCAAGTATGTCTGCCAAAAAAACTTTAACGAACCTCCTATCAGTAACGGTGGTGTAGCTGAAGGGGTCTTGAAATAAGGCTGTTTAGCATTGATACCCAGAAACAATATATGGTATTATCATAAAGAAGTGCTAAAAGTTTAAATTGCTTTAGATTATTCTAAACCAATAGATTTGGGATAGATTTTCAGTGAAGAAGGATTTGGAACTAAAGAATTGTGCCAGTCTTCCATGTGGTACCAGAATGTTTCTTGAGGGGAGGGGTCCCACACACAAAAGACCACTAAAACCTCTGTAGTGGCATCTAGCAAAGAACAAGTCGGAGTAATCAGAAGCAAATCAGCAAAATATTCTTATGTGCATAGAAGTGCACAGAATTCTCGCGACCCTGACCCATGGTTTGAAGCTAAGTGACCCTAATGAGGCACTTAATCTCAAGGTCGTGGTTTGAGCCCCACGTTGGGCAAAAGATTCCTGCATTGGAGGGGATTGGACTAGATGGTTGTCATGGTCCCTTCCAACTCTACAGTTCTAGCATTCTAATTCTTTAAGACGCTGGGAATGTTACCTTTGTGTTCTCTCTAAGTATGGGCCCAGACAGTACTAGTTTTCTCTTAGACTAATAATGCAGGATCATGATTTTGTATGTGTAGGTGTTCATTCTCATCCAGTGAGTAGGATTGCCATATTTCAAAGAGTGCAAATCCAGACACAAAAGTTGTTGGGGGTTTTTTTTTGCCAAAGTTGTTCAGCTTTTTTAAGTTTTCCCCAAAGTTGTTGAACTCTTTTTAAGGAAATTCTCCAAAGTCTTCACTCCCGACATGGGTTGCTGTACATCCGGATTTCTACCTGGACACTGTTTCCGATAGCCTAATCCTGGCTATGTCTGGGAAATTCCGGACATATGTCAACCCTACCAGTGAGTAAGGATCTATAAATGCATTACAGTGATAAGCAGCAGATCCACAAGTATGTGGCTCCATCTCCATCATAGGTATCAATGGGAGGTTATTCCCTACACTCACCAGAACTCTATTGAATTTTTCAATCAAAGCAATGTTTTGTTACAACAAAATCCATGATATAGGTACTTGCAAGGAGAAATTTGATTGAAAAAGTGAAAGAATAGCCCATACATTGCTTGTAATTTAATATAAAAAGAATATAAATAAATAGAATTAGATATTTGAAGAAGGCTATTGTACCTCCTCTCAATCTCCTCTTTTCCAAGCTATACATACCCAGCTCCCTCAACACTTCCTCATAAGTCTTGATTTCCAGACCTTTGATCATCTTGGTCACCACCCTCCACACACATTCTTAATTGTCAATAGCCTTCTTAAATTGTGGTGCCCAGAAGTGGACACAGTACTCTGACCAAGGCAGAATAGAGTGGTACTATTACTTCTCTTGATCGGGACACTATACTTCTGTTGATGCAACCTAGAATGGCATTCAATTTCTTTTTCTTTTCTCTTTGCTGCTGCTGCATCACACTGTTGACTCATGTTAAGCTTGTGATCTACTAAGACTCCTACAAAGACATGTGCTGCTGACAAGTCAGGTGTCCCCAATCTTATATTTGTGCAACTGGTTCTTCATGCCTAAGTCCAGAACCTGACATTTGTTCCTATTGAAATTCAGTTTGTTAGCGTATGCCTGCGCCCAGTTCTCCAATCTGTTAAGGTCATTTTGAATTCTGATTCTGTGAGGGCATAGAACATGGGTAGGCAAACTAAGGCCCGGGGACCGGATCCGGCCCAATTGCCTTCTAAATCTGGCCCGCGGATAGTCCGGGGATCAGCGTGTTTTTATATGAGTAGAATGTGTGCTTTTATTTAAAATGCATCTCTGGGTTATTTGTGGGGCAGAGGAATTCATTCATTTTTTCTTTCAAAATATAGTCGGGAACCCCACAAGGTCTGAGGGACAGTGGACCAGCCCCCTGCTGAAAAAGTTTGCTGACCCCTGGCATGGAATCAACTTTGCAGCGCCAGCATAACTCCTGACAGTCCTTGTGTGTCACATTCCTCCAGGGGCTCATCTCCTGCAATGGGCAATCTCCTCCCTAGGGGCATTTTTTCCCTCCCTCCCTGTATCACTGTTGCAGTCTGCTCAGCTCTTTCAAGAAATTCCTCATCTTGCCCAGTAGCTCAAAGTGTGGATAGACAGGCCTCAAGTTGCTATACCTTCTCTTCCAGCAAGGCAACCAGCTTGCACTTGCCACACGTGTGGTTTTGCACATTCTCAGACAAGAAGACAAACGTGGCACATGTGTTGCAGGTCACCCTCGCAAATGCCCCTATTTACAAGTCCTGCTCACGAAAATGAAGGCGTGTTTACAAGCTTGGTTTTTCATAATAAAATCAAGGGACAGCCCAAGACACCTTGCTGCCTGATTTGGACAAAGTGGCCACACACACGTACCCATTCCATGTTCAGAAGACCAGACTAACGGTTTAGTTTTACTTCAACACTGATGATGCAGCAGCCTGTTCCACCATAGCTGAAGGCAGCAGACTAACCTAGGGGACATAGGGAAGGACTCGTGCCACACAAACCTCTGCCTTCCAACTCCTTGCCCTTGCCCCCATCTACCATCTAATGGCATACTTAGGAATAGTAGTTCTTAGAGCAGGCATAGGCAACTTTTGGCCCTCCAGATGCTTTGGACTACAATTCCCATAATCCCTGATCACTGATCCTGTTAGCTAAGGATCATGGGAGTTGTAGGCCAAAACATCTGGAGGGCCGAAGGTTGCCTATGCCTGGCTTAGAGCAGTGCTCAACTTTAATTCCTTTCTAATAGCTGCAGCTGTTTTACACACACACACACACACACACACACACATTCAAAAATGAATAATCAGAACCTGAAGTTTATAAACACCTAGCACTCAAGAAACATGAGTTTTATTTTGTAGTGCAGTTTCTAAATCCTGTTAATTTCTGGAACAGAAATATACCAAAAATGTTGTTGACAGTGAAATAGAAAGCTTTGTAAATGTACAATCAAAGTAAAAAAAGATGGGGGTGATACGTTTCTTCCCCTGAAGTTATTGAATTGTCATTGATGTGCATAAAAATGTTGATATAGCTTCAGAAAACTTACAGCTACAGGTATGAAAACTTTCCTGCTAATTCCTATTACAGTTCATGAGCTCAAAATAGTGTTGCTTTTTATTGATTTCTAGCTTGGAAGGTTTCAAGATAGAATAGACATTGTAGTGTCTCTAGACAGCAATGAATATAGAATTTTAGCAACCCGAATGAAAAATATCCCAGCAGAAATCCCTTGAGGCTTAAAACTAGGGGTGGGGAAGAGCTGTAGTACAAGACCATCTGTAGGCCACAGTTTCCTCATCCCTGATATAGAGGTTATAGCATGCTACCATACCAAGTCTCCCATTAATGGAAATTTTATTTCTAAAAGCAGTTTGAAACCAATCTTCTCTACGTTTAAGAGAAAATTGATCTTGAAGCACAGAACCAAATCATAGAAACTTCTTCAATTATGATTAGGTTTTTTTAAATATATATATATATATCTCACCATAGTTTTGTTTGTTTGTTGTGTTATCTGCATATGTTCCTTAAAGGTACTATCAAATAATGTGTGTTCTTTTATAGAAATAGATTATTAATCCAGAATAATTTACTTAAAGCAAAGTTTAATTTAAATTAAAAATATTAATTTTTCATTTGCCACCTTTGAAGGAAAAATAAGGCAGCTATTTCAATATTCTGTACAAAATATGTAGCCTCCCATCGTGGGCTAACATTCTATCCTGTATTTGTTTGTAATAGTGGGAGAGAAGGTTGTATGCACCATCTAGTGGCTATTCTAGATTTAGTCAGAAAAAGAATAGTAACCTGAAACATAGCCATAATTTTCCCTAATACTTTTAGCTGGGACAAATGATATGAATAGTACTATGTTACAGTATAATGACAATTTGCTATCCATGCTTTTACTTATACAGTATGATCATTCTATATTTTTAGAGAAATCCAAGACCTGTGACTTACCAGTTTCAACAAAATTTGGATTACTACAAAGCACGTGGAGCAGACTTGATGAATAAAACTCGGTAAGCCTTTGTCATATTTTGCCAAAATAAAATGTGTTTAGAAAAAAATTATACAGGTTAATAATCCTATATTCATTTGGGACCAAGTTCCATGTACACCAGAGGCCTGCTCTTGAGTAGAATTGCATAGGGTTGCAACTATGATTTGTTTCTGTTTTTAAATTACTAGGTAACAGGTAAAGCTGATCATTGAACTTGGTTTTTACAAATGAGAAAAACTAAGAAAACCCCAGCCTGGATCAGACCAACGGTCCATGTAACTCAGTGTCCTGTTTTATCACAGTGGCCAGCCAGATGATTATGTGAAGCAAGACATGAGGGCAATTGTTATTTGTAGTGTTGCTCCCAGCAGGTGCCTAATATATTAAGTAAATAAATGTTTGGTGGTATACTGCCATTAAACTTGGAGATTCCATATATATGAAGCTGTGTTCACAGGGAGCACTCACTGACCCTGACAACATAAAGTGGGCAACTCCTGCTCATCCAGAGTCCTTTATCTAGTCTAAGAAGAATGTGTTGATCTTTTTAGCAAATGTCAAAATAGGTAAAGGTGATGGCGGCCCTATGTTATATTTCAGAGACCTTTACCTGACCGTTAAATAAGTAGATCCTTGCTCGACTTCACACCATTGATCCAGCATAGTTTGATAAATGAAGTAGCAGCAGGGAGACCCATATTAAAATCCCACCCACTCCCCCAAATGTTAAAAAAGAAAAAAAGGACCACTTCCTGACTCCCACTGCTGCTTGGTAAAGAGATAAGTCAGGGTAGTAGGGTTGGGGTTAGGGTTTAGGATTAAGGGTTAGGGTTAGCAGAAAAATAGCAGCAAAAGGAAGAAAACTGCAGACAAAGCAGTAGAGCCACAGCAGGGAGGGGGCGACTGTGGCATTGTGTGAGGGGAGAAGACAAAAAGCGCCCCAGAGGACGGTTTGTCCAAGACCTTCTCAGACCTGGCAGGCTCCTGGTCTCAGTAATTACTCATGACAGTAGGCACACTTTCTAGTAAGAGCATTAAATAAAAATAAGATTTAGTCAGGAACCAAAGTTTACCAAGTGGTGGCAAAACTTTTTCTCAGGGACATTCTGATTGACAACGTCAGTTGTCGGCAGCCACAAGGTTAAAGGGCATCTTGGCACTCCACCCCTTTAGATAAGGATATCTGTATATAAGAGTGGGACACACAGACTTGGCTCAGGCATTAAATAATTGTACTTTTTCAAATAAGAGATGCAGTTTGTTAATTTAATTGTTGCATTAATTAATTAAGCCTTCAGTTAAAACCTAGGGCAAAATTTGTCCCCACAATACACAAGAGGATACCATTTTTCCAGTGTTATAGATAGCTACAGCATTTCTAGGTTGAATTCTTTGAATCAAGTATGTGCAAGTTCAACATAGCAGCATGCCTGTGTGAAGCAAAATGGATTAATCTCAAGGTGAGGTAAAGGACATTGGGTGTAAAATGCTAACAGTTAAGTGTCAGTTAGGAAAGCGAGTTTAGGATTCTGTGGGGGGGAGCACAAGTGGATGGCCTTGCTATAGGGAACGATTATAAAAGCAGAAATTGAAGAGAGGGAGGAACAAGCATAGCATTACATGCTAGCTAGAAGCGCTAAGTCAGGCTTCCTCAGTCTTGGCCCTCCAGATGTTTTTGGCCTACAACTCCCATGATCCCTAGCTAGCAGGACCAGTGGTCTGGTATGATGGGAATTGTATTCTCAAAACATCTGGAGGGCCGAGGTTGAGGAAGCCTGCGCTAAGTGCTCTCTAGGATTTTTTAGAAACCCCCAAATACTGTGGTTTTAAATTGATAGTTTAATTTTTGAGTTTGGACCCATTATACCAAAAATTGGGTGAAGTCATACCAAAGTCATGTTTCAGTCCACCATCTTGATTCACAATTAGGCCTGGCATCCAAACAGTGGCAAAGACTCCCAACCCCAACTCAGAAACTCTTGTGTTGTGTATCTTGAGAGGCACCCAAACTTGTATAAAAAAAGAGTGAAGTCATGCCAAAGTCACATTTTGGACCTCCATCTTGCTTCAAAAATGGCATCCAGCATAGCAATGGAAATGAAGTCTGTGGTCTCCGTATCTGGAACCCTTGTGCCGAGTTTGGTGATGGTATCTCTAGAGATGGCCTAACATATGCCAAAAAATGGGCAAATTCATGCCACAGGTCGCATTTTAGTCGCCCATCTTGATTCAAAATACCACTTGGCACCTGAACATCAACCTAGGCCCCTCATCTCTACCTCAGCAACCCATGAGCTGAATTTGTTGGTGATATCTTAAAAGGTGACTGAAACTATGTTAAAAACTGGGCGAAGTCACACAGTTTTGATTTAAAACAGTCTGCCACTGCACCTCAGAAGCCGTCATTCCGAGTTTAGTGATGATATATTAAGAGGTGGCCCAAACTATGCAAAAAAACAGGCGAAGTCACACCAAAGTGATGTTTTGGTCTGCCATCTTGATTCAGTATGGTGGCTGGCATCTAAATGTCAATGAAGAGCAACCCCCCCCTACCTTGGGAATGTATTGAGGACAAACAAATGGACAGACAGACAGACAGACAGACAGACAAACCACTTTCCAAAATATATAGTAGATTTCACTGTTGTGATTCAAATTTTAATTAATGTATATATTAAAAATGCAGAATTAAAAACCACACAATTGTGTTTTATTTATAGCAAGTTTCCCAGTGGCTACATAATGGGAACATATTTGAATCAGCTTTCTTAAACAAAGCATTTTCATCTGAGCAAAACACAGCTTGTTTTAAAAATATCCATTGATATCCAAGGTCAATGATGCTTATTGTGCTGAAACAAAATCATCTTCTCCAGAGTCTGGATTCACATCTTCTTGACATTCATGTTTTTAAAGTAATACCTTGCTTTTAAATTTTTTCTTAATGGCTGTGTAACATAATCAATCCCCCTTTTTCTGGTGATCGTTGTGTAATTTTTATGCATCTTGATGGTTAAGCCATAGATATGGATCCTTGTTTGGTGGCTAAAACCATCTCTTACATCCATATATCGAAACATTCAAAGGTAGCAGAGCGAAAGCGAGAGAGCACACTTAATTTGTCAAATCTCTTCTATCTATAACTTCCTGTCCCAATCCTTGTTTGCTTAAACTGCTGCTTCGGAAAGTCACTGCTATGTCAAGGACATAGCGAGGGGGGAATAAACAAGCAGATGGAGCATCAGAATTATTGTTTGGGAAAGGAGAGTTCCTAAGAACACTCTACAGGATCACAGCTTGTGCACAGCTAGTCCAGTAAAAGGACCCAAGTCTCTCCACCTCAGCATCTTCCTCTCAACAGCAGCAGTGCCTGAGCTATTCCATTACCTCTTAAGCAGAGGTGGGAAAGAAAGGGGCATATGTCTGCTTTTAGGTGTGCAGTGAAGTTTTGCCTAAGTAGACTTCCATAGGATTCTGATGTTATGTATGCTGCTCCTGTTTTAAATTGCTTTGTCTTTGCTGGGATTTTATGTGGCGCCTTACCTTATTTAGCCTCACAGTACCTTGGTTTCTTTGTAAACTGTCTTGTGTGCTTCAGTAAAAGGAAAGTGGAGTGTTAATTAAAATCATAACCTCTAAGGAGTGGAAAGGAAGCTCCGCATTTCCTTCTCAGCAGTGACAAAGGTTGAGCCTTGGTGTTCATGTCTGTATGTGGGAGGGGATTTCTTACCTAACCTCACCGACTCAGCTTGTGATTTTGAAATGAATGGACTATCAGATTCATGTCTATGGCACGGCCTTTTTGGCATCGTCGGTGTGGAAGACAATAACTGCCACCTACACTTGACACCGAGGTCACCATTATAGTCACAAGTGAAGGAAATATGTTGCTTCCATCTGAAAAATATTTGTGAGAGAACTCCCCACCCCCACCCTCCGTTTGAATAAATGTTAAACACTTGCTTCTGTGGGAGAAAATTCAGTGTGGTTTTCAGGTGGTTCAGACAAGGAGGAAATTATTTGCTGAGTCCCTGAAATTGCCAATAAGGTTCATTCCTTATAGGCTAATGGCTCTTCTTTCATTAAAACAGAACTCTGAAAAATAGTGCTTGTCCTTATAGAGTCCTATTTGAGGGTGTGTGTGTGTGTGTGTGTGAGAGAGAGAGAGAGAGAGAGAGAGAGAGAGAGAGAGTTTTTGACAATACCACATACAACACTATTGTAGCAGCGCTGTGTTTCCTCTTGTTTTACAGTGTCAGTGCCAAGGTTGCTCCGCTGAACATCAATAAAGTTTCTAGTAGCTTACTGAATTTTGGCCGAAAGCTGATTTCCCCAGCCATGACATCAGGTGGTGCCACTGGGCTAGTTGTAGGTAGCAGTGGCAGCTTTTCTTCTGTTGCAGTGCCCATTAGGAGCTCAGTGGAGCTCCCTCAACAACAACTACAGCAGCAGCAGCAGCAGCAACAACAGAGAATTATGAAATCTGAAAGTGTACCAATTCAACTAAGCAAAGGTAAATACATGACATTACTTGGTTTTGAGACGGAATCCTGTAATGAGCAAAGCTTAGAGGCTTTTAGCCCAATATTTGGGCAGTTTTATCAAGTCTACATGTGACCTTCAGCCTTCCACAGCTTCTCAGCTCCTGATCATGTTTATCTCTTTTCTGAACTAAAACTCTTTCTCCAGTTACCCTGCCACTCTCCAAGTTCTCCATCTTGTTTCACCTTCTTTCCATGCTATTGCATCTGCCAGCCCTCTTTAGCCTAACCCCTTTGCTTGCTGCTTCTGACTTCTACCTTCTCTAGTCCCCATCTCCTAGTGCCTTCCTTGACCTGATTCCGTACCCTTTCCCTATGTGTTTGCCTGCCCTGCCCAAATCTACTTCTGTTATAGTGAGAAAGTTCAGTCAGTCATCACCACACCATTCCTCAGTGCTTTGCAATATAGAATCTCATATGGTATTGCAAAGGGGTATTTTAAGTATATTCATTCATTTGTTTGCCCTTTTACTGATAAACACTATTAGAACTTTGTAAAAAAAATATATATTCAATTTTTGGTCTGTTTTGAAGATACTGTGAATATATATTGGTATATTTTGATTATTTATAACACTCGTGGGAAAACTACTAAACTCAACAAGTTGTTGAATCACTTGTCCTGATTTAGCTCTGAAGAAAGGTTGCTGTATTTTGTGGCTTCAGATAAAGGAGCATGACTGTTCATATGTCATTTTGAGTCTAAGCTCCATTCATGATTTATAAACGTTCTCTTTTCTATTAGTGGCAATAAGAAAAAAGCATGCATTAGCATAGTCAAATAACTATAAAGGCCATGTTACTCCTAAAATTCTCATTCTAAAGAAGTAGCTCAACCAGATGATCAGATGTGTATCTCACCACACCACACTTACGCACACTAAATGCTCTGCCAGAGCCTTGGTCACAGTGTTTCCTCACACTTCCTTGTGCTTTTCTCGGGGAGGTCATGACTATGAAGAAGCCACCACTCCATGTAAAGGCTGTCTTGCAATTAGGACAGACTACCTAACCCTATGCTGGCCACATGACCCGGAAGCTGTACGCCAGCTCCCTCGGCCAATAAAACGAGATGAGCGCCACAACCCCAGAGTTGGTCAGGGACCCCTTTACCTTTACCTAACCCTAACATGCCAGAAACACTCTTTTTGTTTCTGCTGACATATCAGTTTGCTTTATGATCGACTACATAAGATTTGGGGGACGCGGGTGGCGCTGTGGGTAAAAGCCTCAGCGCCTAGGGCTTGCCGATCGAAAGGTCGGCGGTTCGAATCCCCGCGGCGGGGATCTTGAGTGAGATGGGCGCACAACCCTAGAGTCTGTCAAGACTGGCCCGTACGGGCAGGGGTACCTTTACCTTTACATAAGATTTGACAAATGTCTGTAAAATATACTTTTTTTAGTGAGCTTGAAGTTTGTTGGTTTCTGGGTTCTGGTATTTTTATTCTTAACTTGGAGTTCTGTATTTAGTATAGCAGAAGTGATCGAGAAGTTGTTATTTATAAACATCCTTGTACAGTCAACCCTCGGTTGTTGAACTTAATCTGTTCCGGAAGCCCGTTCAGCTTCCAAAAATGTTTGACAACCAAGGCGCAGCTTCTGATTGGCTGCAGGAGCTTCCTGCACTCAAGCAGAAGCCGCGTCTGATGTTCAGCTTCTGAAAAACATTCGAAAACTGGAACACTTACACTTTTTGGGAGCCGAAACATACGGTAACAGAGGCGTTTGGGAGCCGAGGTTTGACTGTAACACACCCTCCCCAGTTTTGAATAAGATATTGAAACATGTTGTGACCAAACATAAATCTGTGCTACCAAAGTGCCATGCATCCATTGTTGTTTTTACTGGTATTAACTGCGGCTGCTAATAAACATTCATACTATTTAAAAACAACAACAAATTTCTGCTTTTAAGCAAAAAAAAATTTGCATTCACTGTAAATGCCTTCCATTCATGATGATTTCTTAAAACTATGACTATTATCTCTATATGGGTTAGGCTTCACTGTTGTTGTATAAAATCATGCTTGGTCTTCCTTTTATTAGTTTAAAGAGCCACTGGGCATGTAAAGGCAATCCCAGATAACCAGGCTACCATTAAAGTTTGTTAAAAGTGTTCCGAGGACAGGCCATCCATATATGGATTTGAAAGACCACTATCAGGTTTGCTAAACTCCTCTGAAGTATTTCTGTTAACTTAATAGTAATCCACAAACTGGCTGTTCACTATGTAAAGAGAAGAGCTAATCAATACTTATTTATTTAGGTACATCTTTAGCCTATTCCTATAAAAATTCAAAGGATCACAAAACCTCCTAGTCATCAGACATCACCATTACAATTTTGTGAGATGCTTGGGACATCTCAACTCACATGGCATTCACACATACAGGAAAAGGAGGTATTTCAAGATCACCTGAAAAAGCAGAATTTCATTGTCCTGAGTAGGTAAACAAAAAAACAAAAAACACCTAAAGTTTATATTTGCACAGTTAGAAACTTATAAGAGTTACAAGTCCATTTCCCAAAACCATAGCAGGACATTGAAGGTTTGCCACTTGCCTCCATTAGTTCTAAGTTAATGGAACAGAAACAAGCAAATTTACTCAACAGTAAGAAAACTGCAACTGAAAATACAATCTGCAAATCGGTTTTGAATCTCTGGTGTCCCATCCTTTAGGGAAAAGCTGTCAGGATGAGAGAAAGAATGACCAACCAACAGTGTGCATAAGAGCAATAGGCAAGGCTTGTTAAAAACCAATCAAGGCTGGCACCCCCCACCCCACCCCCCCAACAAAGTGGGGAACATCAGCCTAACAACAAAGGTTTTAGCACTTCAAATGCTGGAATTCCATGAAAGGAGGACAGACAAGCAGAATCAACAAAGAAAAAAGCAAACAAGTATGGTTGTAACTAGCGAACACGATTTCATAGAAGGAAATGGAACATCAAAAAATATAACTTCTTGTAACTGGATTTTTTTAGCCTGCATGCCCCAAAGTAGGGTTTTGTTTTGTTTTTTTGTATTGTGGAAGTTGGCCATACTATAGAAATCATGACCATTATAGGCCTGGTTCATGACATGGCATGCTAGGCACTCTTGTAAATTTAGTCGATTACCAAAGTGATATTGTTTCACACCACCCCAATCTCCAAGTAGTGCAGGATTCCAGAGGTTCCAGGAACTAACACAGGGTTTGTGTTTCCTTTTGGAAATGAGGTGCAGTGAAGACTGTGGTGTACTTACGATATTTGGTTTATTCATCACCTTGCCAATAAAGGTCCGTATAGTAAAAGCTATGGTTTTCTCAGTAGTGATGTATGGAAGTGAAAGCTGGACCATAAAGAAGGCTGATCACCGAAGAATTGATGCTTTTGAATTATGGTGCTGGAGGAGACTCTTGAGAGTCCCATGGACTGCAAGAAGATCAAAACTATCCATTCTTAAGGAAATCAGCCCTGAGTATTCACTGGAAGGACAGATCGTGAAGCTGAGGCTCCAATACTTTGGCCACCTCATGAGAAGAGAAGACTCCCTGGGAAAGACCCTGATGTTGGGATATATGGAGAGCACAGGGAGAAGGGGACGGCAGAGGACGAGATGGTTGGATAGTGTTCTCGAAGCTACCAGCATGAGTTTGACCAAACTGTGGGAGGCAGTGGAAGACAGAAGTGCCTGGCGTGCTCTGGTCCATGGGGTCACGAAGAATCGGACACGACTAAATGACTAAACAACAACAACAACAACAACAACAAAACAACCTGAGCCTGCAATGTAGGGGTTCACAGCTTCAGCACCCCAAGAGGGTCTTGCTTCTCCCATAGTTGCATCCTTGGATTCAAACAGTCACCTGAAGAGGAAGCTAGCCTGACTTAATTAGCTCTTAACACTTACTAGAGCCAGGGATTAGAGTCCTCTTGCACCCATTTTAACCCCCCAAAGCCAGATTAAATTCTGACTTTTGCTTAATCCAGGGATTATAGGAGTCTGGCACCATCAAACTCATAACAGTGTTTAGGATTTGATTTACCTTACATAGTTACATAGGGAAGCAATATGATTACATAACAACCACAGAACAAGCCACAAATCTTGCAGATACTTATGAGGGTGTATTTATTTCAGCATGCAGGAGGTTGACTGTTTGCCTTGCTCCTGTTACTTAGGTCTGCATGTGAGAGAGAAGCTACAAAACTAAACAAAAAACTGAAGGAAAAGTGCAATGTTAGATTCAGTATCTTCATCACCTTTCCAGCGCAGACTACCAGCCCCAAGTGCACATTGTTTCTTTATTGGTCCTCTTCTGTTAATCAGTAATGGTGCTCTAAACGTCAGACTCAAAACCATGCATGTCTCATTATCATCAAAAGCAAATATTCAGACTACTTATTAAAATCTAAAAGTGAAGTTAGACTGTTTTCTTCTTGTTCTAGTGTTAGTGGTTCATTATACTGGCATTAGGGGGCACAGGGGGCGCTGTGGTCTAAAGCACAGAGCCTAGGACTTGCCGATCAGAAGGTCGGTGGTTTGAATCCCCACGACGGGGTGAGCTCCCGTTGCTCGGTCTCTGCTCCTGCCAACCTAGCAGTCTGAAAGCACGTCAAAGTGCAAATAGATAAATAGGTACCGCTCCGACGGGAAAGTGAACGGTGTTTCCATGCATTGCTCTGGTTCTCCAGAAGCGGCTTAGTCATGTTGGCGACATGACCCGGAAGCTGTACGCCGGCTCCCTCAGCCAGTAAAGCGAGATTAGTGCCACAACCCCAGAGTCATCTGCGACTGGACTTAATGTTCAGGGGTCCCTTTACTTTTATCTTTATACTGGCATTACCTCTTGGGCAATTCATGCTGTAGTAGGAACAGAACTGCTTGGTTGATCTGACTGTCATATTAAACCCTAATGATATATAATTCTGATTAATGTTTAGGGGATTATTACCAATAAATAATTTAGGTGGCAACTTTATACCCACTTGCCTGAGATTGAGCCTCAGTGAGTTCAGTGGGACTTACTTCTGAGTAGACATGTATAGGGTTGCACTGTTAATTACCTTTATACCTTTTCTTTTTGGAAACTTTGTGTTTTGAGTTCCTGCTGTGGAAATGCTGTAAATTGATCGTAAAAGCAATAGCTAATGAAAAGATTCCAGTTGGTTTGTAATATTAAACAAAGGTATCCAGGGACTGAGGAAGACAGGCTTCTTCTTTTCAAAAATATCTCTTGTTTTATTTGAAAATCAGTAGAATACACTTCTTATAACTGTTAACTTATTCTTAAGATAAAGAACTTTGCTTTAATACTTCTTAATAATGTTAATTATTCCCATTTTCTTATCAAGAATTGACTTCAAGAATCCTTTTAGATCTCATGTTTGACATATATTTAAGAGGTGTAATGTGAAATTAGACATAATCATTATCCTAAATCTTTGTACACCAAGTATCTGTGGTGGTCTTTGTTTACCAAGTTTTACAGGGTTCAAAAAAAGTGTGTGTTCTTATTTTTAAGATTTTACAAATTGTTCAGATAAATGCATACTCTGGAGTAGTAGATTTGTAAATGTAGGGAATGTTGGGATTAAAGTTGAAGTGAAATGGAAGAATCAGATGACAGTTAGGCATATATCTCAGGGAAAGTCGATCAGATGTCAAACATTGTAATAGAAAGGGGTCATTTCCCATTCTTAGTTAGACAAAAAATGAAAGACTTGTATTTCTGTTACGGTAAAGTTTTTTTTAACTTTATTTACTAGGAGATGTAGTTACAGGCAGTGATGCTCAAGTGTCGGTTCCTGTCCAGAATCTCACTGCCCTCCAAGGGATAGTTGCTACAGCAACTCATGGTATGTTTGCCTGTCACATTTTTATTGGAAAGCCAGACCCACGCCTGTTTCATTTGTGGTGTTGTCATTTCCAGTGTGTATCATACATCGTACTTCCACTAAGTGGTGCTGTTGTTTAGAAAAAAGAAATTTCCTTTATTTAATCACCATGTGAGATGCGTTAAGTGTGTTACCTTTACTTTATGTATCAGCTTTCCTCTCTGCTATTTTTTAAAAAAATATTATTATTATTACCATTTTGTTTCATATAGTATTATGCTATTCAGGTACACTGTAGGAATTTTGATTTAGGACTTTCGGAAAGAATATCTTCTTAGCCTACAATGCTTTTTTTAAATCTTCAAGTAAGAGGCTACATCTGAAGTAGTGCATTGTAAATCTAATGATGTAAAAGGTTCCCTTCATTTAGAAAGCTAGTATTTATATGAAGCAGAGTCTTTTCCCAACATTTGAAAGTATTATATGGAAGGGGATTATTTTGTGACTTTGCTGAAACCATAGGAGTGTAACCAATTAAGTTATACTCATAGTAGTCTAATTGAAATTCATGGACTGTTTGTCATGTCCATTAATTCAGTTATTCTGCTCTGAGTGTTAGATACATCCCCATAGCTCAGCTCCTTAATTTCCATGCTGAATCAGAGTTCAAGCAGCGGCCATTTTAGGCACGTCCAATTGATGCACAATCGCTGATGTGCAGATCCTTTTGGACCTGGAAGAAGGCAGAACAAGGGTAGGGCAAAATGGTGTGGGGCGCATGAGGGCCAGGAATGGAACTCCCACACAAAATGGTTGTCACTTATGACTGTAAAAGTAAAACAAATTCTTCTTCTTTTTAACTCTCTCTATTTTAAAAGCAAAGTTGCTTAAGCATTCAAAATTCTAAATTGTTTTTCAGATTTTGTGTTTCTTCTCTATGGCTATCTCCTGCTTTCAGGGGAAAAAGGAGTGATATCAGACTTTGCTACTTGTTTTGTTGATGGATAGATTTATATTGGTCATTGGCCTTGGCACTATTAAATTTCCCCCAAAAAATAAGTTCTATAAAATAGAATAGATACAGCTTTCAAAGGTAGAGTCTTCAATATATCTTACACAGAGATCATATAATTTATCCTGCTTCTGCAACTTTTTAGGAAACTTTCCCAACTGACAATCTAAATAATGCAGCAGAACTTCTAATTGTTGATTTATCCCAAAGTTTAAAAGCTGCTTTATGAAGTTTACACTTTTGACCTGCAAGTACATATTGATCCAGTTCACAAATAACTCAAAGCCATGCCACAACTTACTGAAAATACATGGGCTCCTGGTGAGAAGATTCTGGGCACTTTGGTCCTCCTGATGTGAGCAAAGCCATGGTTTGGCTTAGCAATACATCAGCACATGGGCTCATGGTTTATCTCACTTTAGAAAAACCATGATTTGTACCTAAAGTTTGTTCTGTGGCTTAACACTTGCAAAGTACACTTTTTTTGTAACCTCAGGTCTGAAAACATTTTTAAAATATCTAAAAACACCTTTTAGTTGGGCAGAATTCATGTTAAAATAGAGTTCTACAATAGGGATTTGAAACCATCACTTGGGGTGATGTTAGTATATGTACAATTACAGCTAGCAGACAATTTTTTCTTAATATCTATATTTTTAAAATACCATTTTTATCCTGCCCATCAAGGAGCTCATACATGGGTTTTCTGTGAGCACCATTTACACTTAAAGCACCATACCTCTGACATCCTATTGACTTCCATAAGCAGCTGGGGACTTGAACTCAGGTATAAATATAGATTCAAGTATACTTCTGTTCACCATGATCCTCTTGTTATATTTAACAGTAGACACAAGAGTGAAGGATAGGAATTTATCAAAAGAGAGCATTCACAAATACCACTCCACAGAACTGTAAAGAATGGGATGGGGGCAATTTTCCCCCCACCTGTTGACTAGAAAACCTAATTACAGATGGTACTTAGTATGTATGCCCTCTTCCATTTTATTGGAAGCATGGCACCTGTGATGAAATAGCTGCTGAGGATCTGGTAGGAGACTAACTGCCAACTGGTACGATGTATAGTAAAAGAGTGAACCAAAGCTGTTGGGACCAAAATAAACATGAGAGTTCCTTCCCTCTTTGGCTTGCACTTCCCCTCTAAGCATGTATCTTAGCAGTATTCCTTTGTCTTGATGGAAGCAGTCAGCGAGGTGCCTGGCAAGGCCTGTCAACATTACTTCTATCTCAATCAGATTAGGCTCTCCTTATTGTCATCACTGAAGTTTGGCAGGGAATAGTTGCTAGGAACATAGGAAGCTGCCTTGGACTGAGTCAAATCATTAGTCCTTCTAGCTCAGTACACTCTGCACTGGCTAGGAACAGCTGTTGAGGATTACAGACAGGGGTGATCTGAAATTGCCGGTGTAGTCTGCACAATTCCAATCTAACTAAACCCCCGTTTGGGTGTTCAAGAAACACACAGAGGCCTCCCTACGATTGGGAATCATGCATCATCGAGGTTCTCAGTTGCTGGGAGGATTCTGTGCACATTCAGATCTTCCGCCCAATGCACAAAGGACTTGTGGTTGCAGCCGGCAGAGCCTGGGATATTGTTGAGGAGGCAGTCATGCACAGCCCCTGCTCTCTTTCAGCCTGAACAGGCTCAGCATCATCTTAGTAAAAAAAAAATGAGGCTGTACTATGGGTGAGAGACATCAAAGGCCACCAAGTGTGTTCATGGCTGAGCTCAGCATCTTAATTTCTACTCTTCTGGGTGATTTGCAAGACTGAATTAGTCTGTGCTGGTTTTGCCCTTTAAATCTCTAAATGGCTTGGGACCATGATTCCTAATGGGCAGCCTTTTCCTATATATGCCTATGTACTCATTAAGATCTGCTGGAGAGACACTCTTTTATAGCCCATCTAAATCTGGTTGAAATGAGAGAGAGAGAGCATGCCAGAGCCTTTCCTCTCCTCTGGCTGTACTCAGGCTTTGGAATTTGCCTCCCTCGTTTTGCCTCTTCTGTCACTGTGTGAAGGCCTTTCTGTTCCAGGGGTTGTTTTACCTGCTGAGTTGTTGACTGGCTTCTCATCTTCCTGGCTCCTTAGCTTCTGTAATCATATGTTTCTTGAAATTGTTTATATTCTTATTTTATTGTTACATTTTAGTTTTTTATATTAAATGTATTTTCTCCCTTGAGTGTTTGTAAGGGAATTATTATTATTATTATTATTATTATTATTATTGATAAATAAGCACACTGTACCTGCTGAATGTCGTGAAGCTATTCTCATATCATGCTCTGTTTGTCTTAAGCTCCAAACATCACACATGCAAGTGAACATTGATTTATGCAGTGGTCATATATATATTACAGGATCTGAGCTATTGCCTTTTTTTTTTTTTTAAGCCAGTGTTCCTAACTGTTGCACCTAATGAACAGGAAGAACATGCAACTGATTTTTGGGTTAGGGTCACACCAATGAAACCTGCAACAAAATATTCCAGTGTGGACTGTTCCAGTCAGGCAGGCACATATGTTCTCAGGATACTCCATTCCACTACCCCCAGTTTCTTGTTTTTCCTTCCTCTCCAACAGATTGCCAGCATTCCGTGCCAACTGAAAATGCTCAGCCCTCTTTTTGCTATTTTTGGGTTTTTCTGGCCCCTGAAGAATTATTTTCTAAAGATCTTTTATTCTTATGCAAACCTTGGGGTTCCCCTAAACTTGCTCACATATTTCTCCTATCTATGAATCATGCTGTTTTGGTTATGCAAGGATCGGGTTGGAGAACTGAGTTGGTACATAGGATTCCACTGCATTACATACATCCATTTTATCCTTACCAATGCCTCCTCTGTCAAGCTAACACTTCACTGCTTGCCTCCAAATTCCTTGTCTAGCAAATATTAAAAACTCTGTATTTGGAAAGGAGGGAGAGAGAAATTGTTTGAGGATTATTTTTTCACTGCTGTGCATAGATTGAGCACTGAATGCACGCCTTTCATAGGGCACTGTCCATGTTTTTTGCACAGAATTTGTTTTATGTGTTTGACATGTATTTGTCTTGTGGAGAGTGTGCGTTGAAGGGATGGCACTAGGAAGACCTGCCTGTCTCACAGTGGCAAGTCCCTCTGTGTGTGGACAAATGGGCTTTGATGTCACAAAATCTCACTCTGTGTTCATCTGTTTACAAAGGTTACTGAGTGACACTTCGGATAGGGAGCTCTTTGATGGCAATGTTTTCCACTGATCATTTTTTGTTTCCCTCTGTTTGCTTTACAGGGCAGGGTTCAAAAAATGTCAGCGCTTCTCCAAGCATTGAAAGTTTGTCTGGGGGACGTGAATACACAGGGTCTCCACCTTTGTCTGCAACCAAGAAAGAGTCCTTTTTCAGTACTATTTCCCATTCTCGTTCGCACAGCAGAAGTATGAGCAAAAAAGAGTCTGTAAGTCCCTACTGCTTATTGATCTCATATTGTCTCCCGTATTTGCACTGGTCTGCTTTTTCATTCAGGGACCTATGTACACAGGCAGGCACGTATCTTGTGACACAAGAAAAATCTGTTCCGAACTTTTATGGAGGATTATTTCCCTTACTTTCTGTTTTTGTATGCGTCGTCCTTAACTCATGAACAGCCATGGTGTCCTCTAAATAAGAAAGGCACCCTGTTCCCACTTCAGCACCACATCTGACAGGCTTCAGCAGCTGATGAGGTCCCAGAACACTTGCAAAGCTTACTGGTTCTGACACCTGATATGCACCCCACCCCTCCCATCCTATCCTGGCACTAGGTTTTAAATTTCTCACAATGTCTCCCATGTTTAACATTGCAATGGGGCATTTGGGAGTATTAAATGGTGGCTCACAGTCACCCATTGCTGCCACCAGAAAGTTGGTGGCCAAGGACTCACTGATGTAGAAGAGGACTCAGTGAGGACCACTTTGACAAATGCTCCATCAGACTTTGCACCAGTCGTCTAGGCAGCACATTCCTGTCCCCTGCTTTAGCTGCTGTTGCCATAGAAGCTTATATGGCACTGATAAAGTTGTGAGGGCAGGGGAGACGGAATAGGAAAGATGTGTCCCAATTTTCTCTGACGCCTCCTTAGGTTCTCCTTAAATTCAGCCTTTTCTGCTCATGCAAGAGCAAGTGCAGAGCCACAGCCATTGTCACTGCCTCCAAAATAGCTTCACACATATCTCTTCAGTGCCTGTACTATAGGGAAGTAATGGTTTCTCATGCCTCAGTGTAAGGTGCAATGCAGCCTTTCCCCATCAAACAATAGGAAAGGTGCTAAGATCTTGGCTCCTGGTCTGTTGCCATTGTGCTACAAATCATACTGTGAATCAACTTTGTAATGCATCTTTTGATATCTTTACTGAAAAGTAGGAATGCACCATCTCTATGCGCATTCCAAAATTTATCCCTTGCGTGTGATGCAAGTAAGCACACAGAAAGTATCATCATTTTCTAGCGCAGGCAAAGAGGACATGGCAACTGAAAAGGTATAAGTTTTTGCCAGGTTGCACCTTCCATCAGTGACGATCAATGCGAACAGTGTCACGTTCCCATTGGAGACATTGGAATGTGCGTTTACTTATTTATTTTTGTAAAATATTATAACCTGCCAAATTTTCAAAAATAAATTCAAGGTGGCTAACAAATCCATACATCACATCACACAATATATCCCAGTTCCCGTTCCTTAGTCATAAGTGTTGACATAAAGACCCTAAACTACAATGATAAGTTCCAAGGCAGCCATTAAAACAAAAACTTCAGAAATAAAAGGAAACACACATTTTTTAAAAACCACACACCCTGTGGAGGCCTTTTTAAACAGCCACATTTTTGCCAGCCACCTGAAGCAATACTGTGCATCCCTTGACTGGAAAGACAGCTCTGCCAAAGAGCTAAATCCTCTGCCACCTCTCCTTTCTGCCCTGAGCAAGTTGAGGGAGCCTTTGAGATTAGGAGAAGGCAGGCAGGCACTGTGGACGATGCTTGATGTGTTTTCAAGTGGGGCATTGCTTTGTAGCAGGCTACAAAGAGGAGTTGCTCAACCCACATATCCTTTTGAATAATCAGAGGAGCTCACTTTTATGAATTCTCCTTGTATCATCCCTATACTACTGTAAAGTGTTGCGAAATTGAAACTGGGTTCTTAAAGCGAGGTTGGGAGCATATTTCGGGCCCTTTTAACCTGGCTTGGCAGAAGATGCACATTGGAAGGAGGGGGAAATGTGTGAGAGTGGGAGGCCGTGGAGAGCACCCCTGACCCCACTGCTCATTCCCTGTATCTTACCTCAGTGTCTGAGCTTTAGGTGTTCTGCCAGCTAAGGACAAAAAAGAAGATTTGGAACATATCTTTTACAACTGCAAAATAGCAAACATATTTTGCACAATTGAAGAAAGTATCTACAGTATAGAAAATTCATCATTTAAGAATTTAAATACACCAATAGAAACTAATGCATTTTGAATTAGTTTAACCTTTTAAAATGTATTCATGAAGCTTTTGTCACCAAATATTATTTAAGAGCCAACTGCTTTTCCTACTTTTACTCAGATATGATCCATATTCTCCTTACTATAGTCAGAATTTAAGTCTAATGCTTCTTTCATCTTGTAACATTAGGTTGTAAAAGAATTTTCTTCTGATTCTTTGTTATAATCTTACTTAGTTAGATTTCTTGACAATCTATAAATGTGAGAAAAGGAAGAAGGAGAGTGCCTATAAACAAATAGTCTTCTTTATTGTTTTATTTTAAAGAAACAGCACTAATCAGTATCAAAATGATGATCGAAATTGTCTTTGGAGTAGTTCATTGCATCATTTTCAAGTGACAGAAGCTACGTTGTAATCAAGTTATATGTGCTCAATACCCAATGAAATCAGTAAGACAGGATTGGTTCATACAATTTCCTCCATATGATTAATCCTTGTCTTCCTAGAGCTCACACTCACATTGACATATAAAACACGTGAACTAAGTAATCAGAGCTGTAAACATAGTGGGGGCAGGGACATACGAGAACGACATATATTTTCCCATTACTTTAAATGAGTTGTGGTTATGTTAACACGAAAGCACGCAAACAAGTTTCATCAGTATCATATGACAGTATCATGTGACAAAGCAGATGTTCTCAATACTGTTAAATACACAATAAGTAAAATGGGGAAAGCTTACTTTAACATTTTATGACACTATATTGCATGCAGCAAAGCTTCATTAAGTAGTTTGTTCACCGCCTTTCAACTTTGAAAGGAAACACAACTAACCCAAGCCCTCAGCCCAATACAGTTCAGAGTTGAGCAATAAATTGAACCTCTCTTCAGCCCAAATGCAAGGCATTGTTATTTAGTAATGAAACAGCAAGACTCCTCAAGTGTAACCATAGCAAAAAATAAAGATAAACTGGATGTTAGTCCTACTTCTCCTTGGCCTTAGAGCAGGCACCCCCAAAGTCAGCCCTCCAGATGTTTTGGAACTACAATTCCCATCATCCCTGACCACTGGTCCTGTTAGCTAGGGATGATGGGAGCTGTAGTCCCAAAACATCTGGAGGGCCGAGTTTGGGGATGCCTGCCTTAGAGGATAAGACAAATCTTTTTTCTTTTTAAGCATGGGACCATAAGGCCACAGCATGCTTTAAAGGCAGTATTAAGACTCATCCAATTCTAGTTTTGGTGTAGAATCCTTACATCCCATCCCTTGGAGCATAAAGAGGAGATAAATATAGGAACAGAACCTCAGAATGGTAGTGCAAATGGAGACTGGTTTGAAGAGAGCAACAAGGCTTTTAACACAACAAAGGGGAAAGAAGTTGACGGAAAGGACAGTAGTAGAGAGGAAGGGAGAAAGAAGAATTTTCAGATATCTGAAGAGCTGAGACAGGGGATGAATGTGTATGTCAAGATACATTATTTTATTTGTATAGTACATATGCGCTATGAAAGATAATTATGATAAAGTAAGCTCTAAGAAAACTCATGAAGATTGTATAAATAGAATGCTTTTAAAATTTAATCATGCAGTGTCTTGGTGAAATTAAGCCTGTTTCCATTTCTGTAGTTTCAGGCATCTAGTGCTTCCTCACAAGCAAATGAAAGAGTACTTTTTTAAATAAGCATTTTGGTGCCAGTGTTTTTATTTGTAAACATTTGCCTACATTTAATTATTATGCCAGTATTACTCCTAACTTCCAAACATAGTCATCAGAGCTGTAAAGAAACCAAAATGTGAAATAACAATCCCATACCTACATGACATCATATTACCATGGAAATGTTATAACCTACAAATCTGAAGATACTGAGTAAAAGTGAATGCTGCGGTTTTGAAGAGGTTTGCTTTCTCCTGTGTCTCTTTCCTTAACATAGCTCATCTAGTGTTGCTGACAGTGCTGCCATCCTATGGCCAGTAGAAATCTGTTATTAATGAATACCTTGTTCATAAATACGGCTTCAAACAATACTTACTGCAGTTTTCTGAAGTGTCACCCCATGGTTAGTTATGTGGTAAGCAATTCTGTGTATTTCCAGAGTCCAGCCATGTAGGGACGTAAGCAAAACTTGCTATGAGCAAGTATCTACTCCTATATTCTGTTAATGCTTTTGAGGTGCTGTAACTGATTCCAGCTAGCTGACCCAGAAGGTCATTGTTAATTCTGATGGTCAGTATAATGAAAAGTCACTCAGAGGGCCAGGAGAACCAACAGGCAATACTCCTCCTGCCCATCTCACAGCCACAGTTCATCTATCCGGTTAAGCAAGGCCAGAAACCAGTCTTGGACAGAATCCACATATTTGGTACTATTCAAGATAAACTGGAGCTGTAACTTTAAAACAAGCATCTGTAAGGTTTAGTCATCAACAACTCCAATACAAGTTTAAGCTAGGTGATTTCTTCATTTCATCTTTCTTTCTGCAACTTCTGTGGGCTTCAAGATATCATTATCAGGACTGGTTCATGCAGTGCTCCATCTTGGCCATGTCATGGTCATGTCATGCCCATAGGATTCTAAGCTTCCAGACATTGCCTGGGCTGGATGAGAAGAAGCAATGCACAACTGAAAAAATATGTCCCAGTATGCAAAAGTCACACAAATGGAGTGATAAGTAGCACTAATTGAATCCAGAAAGACAAGAGAACATGTCATGAATCAGACTCCGTAAACAAACAAATATGTAGACGCATCCAGAATTAAACAGGTGTGCAATTTGTCTGAGGTGCATAGTAGCAATGAATACTACTAAAGTGAAACCATACATTTCCATTTCCCCCCAGTACCGATACTTTTTGAGTTAACTTATAAAGAATGTATATGATCAAGTGCCTACATGCATATTTTGACAGGATGTGTTGGTGCACTTAAAGCCAGGGGCGGTGTTGGGGTTAGCATCGCTGGACACCTACCAAGGCCCATACTCCAGCAGAGGGCCCACGTTTGACCTCCAGAGACCCTTCCCCCTTCTCCTGCTCCTTGCTGTTGCTACCTGGTCACCTGCCCCCTCTAGGTTTGTGTGTGAGCATGAAAAGAGCATCATCCACAATACATTGACCTCTTCTGGACAAGAGTGTAGATTGAGCCAGAGGGAGCAAGCAGGTGAATGAGCAGTGATTATGTGTGCAAGGAGGTGGGTTCACAGAGAGAGAGAGCACTCAGGGCATCTGGCCTAAATGATTCTCAAAATTAGGAACAGACACCGCTAAATACTATGCCTGCTAAGTTTTGAAAGATTTGTTAATATTTTGGCATTAGTGGAGTAATCGCTGCTCACATGCTGTTTGCATAGACAATACAACAATTCCTTAAATGTCACTTGAACATTATCATGAGTTAGCATTTATGTATTAGTGCCAGAAAGCAGACTGTTGCAAAAGAATGGAAACATTAGATGATATTTTCGTAGCCATAATAACCTTGGGTGAATGACGCGAGAAGGAAAATTCATTCTGCCATCCATTTGGCCGCTTACAATAGTAATAGGCTGTACTTGATGCTAATCACAAGACGGTGTACGTTGTATGTGCTTTGTGAAGGCACCTCTCTGTGCCTTTCTCCCCCAGTTATAGGGGAAATAAATTCAATTAAGATGACAGCACTATTTATTTCCCAAGATGTTGGTAAGAAACATGGTTTCTAGTTAAAACAGGATTTGTGCAATTAAAATATGAATGTTGCAGTTTTCATTTCATTCTTCCAATGTGTGTGAAGCAAATGTCCTCACTTCTGTTTCATAATCATCATATTTAGCATTTTTTATGGTATCCTTCATAAGCTTAAAGCATGTCACAGGTATCCATCTCTGTAAGCTTTACAACAGCTGGTAAAACATGCCATTATTAGTAGGAGGAATCTGAAGGCCAGCTAGTCTGTTAATGGCTGGGATGAAATTTGATTCGGGGACTTCCTGAGCCCCTTTCAGTTATTACCATCTGTATGACTAGTGCAGGGGGAAAGGAAGGGTGGGGGTTGGCTCCTGACTCCACCCTTAACATCACATGCCTGCCTGGTTCCAAAAACTGCTATCTACATATACGACAAAACTCTAAAGAGGGTACTGAATGTACTCGTGGAGACTTCCATGTAACTGAGAGTGCAATTCAGTCAACTCATGGAAAAAGCTGCATTCCTTGCATTGATTACCATGTTTATATAGAGGAATAACTTCCACTTGTGCAATGGAGCTTCCTCTTCTCTCCCCCCACCCTGGCCAGGTACCTTCCCCACCCCCAAAATCTGCTCTGGGGTTTCCCCCAGTTCCCTGGAACATATTTTGGGTTGTTCCATTGCACGAGCAGAGGTTTTATTTTCACAGTGATTTAAAAGCTGGATTAAAATGTGACATTACCAAAGTAAACAACATTTGTGTTTGTTTGTTTGTTTGTTTGTTTAAAAATATTTTAGGGTGCTTTTTTAGGCCATGTGCACCCAATAAAACAGCATAAAACAACAAAGAAAAATGCTTTTTTTAAAAAAAAAACTACTCAGTAAAACCTCATTAAAAGAAAGAGAGAAAGCTGAATTCAACAGAAATATCATCCAGCCAATAAAAGGTTGCTCCTAGAAGGCCAATTGAAAAAGAGAGGTCTTCAAGGCCTTTTGAAAACCCTTCCCCATGGCAGCGTGACGCGGGTCTGATGGAAAGGAATCCCAGACTTGTGGGCCCACCATACGGAAGAAACTCTCCCTTAAATAAAGATAGGTGTATGCAGTGCTTTTTTTTTCTTTAAAAAAAATGTTTAGGGGTACTCTCATTTTGACTCAAGAAAATCACCATTTTATAGTTCAAATCAGGGAAAATAAATACAGTAAATAGACAAAAGTACAAAGATTCACAAAATGTTTAAGGGTATCCGTTCCCCTGCGTCCCCCCAGGAAAAAAACACTGGGTGTATGTGTGACAGTCTCATGTGTATGGAAATAAACCCGTTTTCAAAATGTTTACTAAAGGTTTGGTTGCATGTAACATGCTGTGTGGTTTTCGTACAAACATCAAGTAGTATAGTCTGTAATGAACAGAAACATATCTTAAATTACATTGTGAAAGTGGTGACCTAGATGAATATATTACTGGCTTGCAAGTAAAGCATCCAGCTCACTTTTGGGTTTAATTGAAGTGGTTGCTGAGTATCTTTAGATTACAGTGGTCTAGAGGTATAAATGTGTGGGAAGTACTTGCTGCAGTTTCCTAGAAATGAACTTCCCAGAACTGGTGACAGTTTTCTTCCCCTCAGCAGAACAATCTCATGGGTTGAATTTTCTCCTTCTTAGTTGTTTTCACAGTGGAACAACTTATTCATCAGTACTATTGTTGCATTCCTTGCTTCTACTAGCATTACTGCTGACATGTTCCTGTCAGCCCTGAAATTATTAGCTGTGAGAGTAGGTGAGCTTTAAGAAGTTAAAAGTTCTAAGCACCATTAAAAAAAAAAAAATCTAAGTGGCAATATAGCAATTACTCTATTGTGTCTGTTAAGATGGAAACTTAACAGGTTTGCTTAAGTAATATTGAATCTGTTTTAAGCAAATACCTCATAGGCGATTTCATTTTGTAGAGGTTTTCACTAGTTGAATAATTCCCCATAATGCTTGGCTGACATAAATATTTGTCTTCATAATGTAACATTTATGAAATCCTTTGCCAAGCAATGGTTGCCAAATCCTTGGTCTCCAGAAAGGATTGTCAGCAGCTGATAAGATGAAACTGTTAGATGCTACCTTTAGCTGCAGCCAGGACCTTTTAATCTAGAATCTAGAATCGCTTTTAGACTGCCATTCTGCTGAGATCATAATAGAATGGTCCTACGAGCAATTGGTTAACGTATCAGAAAGCGTTCCTCCCAAACTTGGGTTTAAGGACTGACGTAACTACTTTCAAAAACAGTTTCCAACATAGCAAACCTTTACACATACATCTTACCTGCCATTTCTCTGAAGTGGGGTCCGAATATAGACTCTTCATTTACTTGGTCCTGTCTAAATTTAGAATGGCACAGGAAGCCGTGTGAAATGCGGTTGTTTTGCTCTTCTAAAAGTCTGGCTCTGCAAGTGTGTCTGAATAGCACCACAGATACTCTTCAGCCCTGTTTCCGCACAAAAGAATTTTGTGAGGGCATTTGAAAAGCATTAGAGTTATGTAGGGCCCTCTAGTAAACTTACATCTGTTAATAGCTAAGAAATCTGCAGTTAATTTAATGCTACTGACTCATGACTACAAATATAACACAATTTGCAATCCTGCCCATATGTCTGTTGTAACAAAGTAGAATTGCATTGTTTGATTAATCTGGAAAAGAAGATTACACTCATAATTACCGGTAGCATGAAACATGTGATGCCTTTATAATTTGTAGAATAAAATAAATGCAGACCGTTAGAGATGGCCCATAGCCCAGACCACTTTGGCAGAGAGAAAAATGATGCTCCCAGTAGTGATAATAATCCTAACCCGCTTACCTGGGTGAAAGCCCCATTGAACTCAATAGGATTTACTTCTGAGTAGCCATGGTTAGGACTCTGCTGTAAATAACTACATAACTGATTAAAAAGGTTGCCTCGCCCTGCCTAATGGTAAAGCCAGTTTCAAAATTATGCCCCCTCTTCTGACAGTCACAGAGTATTTTTATATGAGGCTGCACCACAGAGAGAGATAGCAAAGCAGGGCTATTCCATTGCCTTTACTGCAAGACTTGTGGATTTAAGTTAGACTTTTACCTTTCCTCAATCATTGGACTAGATGACCCTCATGGTCCCTTCCAACTCTTCAGGTCTATGATCACCACAAGTTTTAGTCTTGACTAATTTTTCATATTGATTTCAATGGGAGCTAAGGAAAACCAACTTCCTCTGGATCTGACCCAAGTGCTGTGTCAGCCCTTGAGAGGTGTTGGGTTAAAGAAGCTGGAACATCACGGTTGTCTACAAAAGACCATAGGCAGCCTTGAGATCTGGTAAAAGTCCTTGAACTTACCTACCCTAAAGAAGATAAATCATTTGTCTAGGTACATGTTTTGACTGAAGACATGCAAGGTGGTATTCTGCAAAGCAGAGACTGTAACAAAAAAGTATGTTGAAACTATAAGGATCTGGCTTGTGCTAAATGGGTAAGGGGAACATGAATTAAGAGTTGTTGGACTACTTCTGCTTAAGTTAGAAGCTAGTACATTCTAAAACAGCTTGAATTATCTAAGATCAATGGATTAATTTCTGGAGAGTTGTTATGAATAGAGGGTTGTAGGCAGGATACATGGAGGAGGAGGGCAAGATCCTTTGAGAAAGGGTTTGTTAGAAATTTAGATAGATCATGAATAAAATATGTTATCAGTTTACTTATTATTAACTAATTCATTAAAAATTTTAACTGTAGGAAGAAGAACTGGAAGCCCAGATTTCATTTCTCCAGGGGCAATTGAATGAGTTGGAGGCCATGTGCAAATACTGTGCAAAGATGATGAATACACATCTGGGTAAGAAGATGCTGCTCTATTAATGTCATTGTTTATTAAATTTGTATATTGCCTTTCCTCCATAGATGTCAGGGTGGTTCACAACCATAACGTTATAAAAAATACAGAATAAAAATAGGAACAAAACAAAACCAATAATCCGCCCCTCACAACAGATTTAAAAGGGTATCTATTAGATGTTAATCAGCCAAAGGCTTGGTTAAAGAGGAACGTTTTTGCCTCGCACCTAAAGGTGTATAAGGAGCCAGCCAAACCTTCCTAGGGAGAACATTCCACAAATGGGGAGCCACTGCAGAAAAGGCCCATTCTCGTGTTGCCACCCTCGGGATCTCTCGTGGAGGAAGCACACAAAGAAAGGCCTCAGATGGTGATTGCAGGGTCTGTGTAGGTTCATGTGGAGAGAAGCAGTTCTTGAGGTATCGTAGTCCTGAGCTTCGTAGGTCAAAACTAGCACTTTGAATTGGGCCCGGAAACTTAATTGGCAGCCAGTGCAGCTGGGCCAGGATTGGTGTAATATGCTCAAACAGTCTTGCCCCGGGAAGCAACCTGGCTGCCAAATTCTGCACTAGCTGAGGTTTCTGAACCATCTTCTGGGTATTGTCTCCCAAATTTAGGAAACGTATCACTATGTCCAAAGTTTTGTGTATGGAACAATTTTGCAACCTTTGAAAATTCAACTGTGCAATGGGAGCATTTCCAGATTATGTTGACATGATTGAGGCTCATATTACTTTCCTCTCTTGACCAGACAAATGAAATGCAAAGTGTGTCTGACCTTCAGATAGTCTGCCAAACCTCTGCATAAATCTTCACTTAACCTTATGCTATGATAACTGCTGTGCTATGATCATTTTACACAATAGAAAGGCCATCAGAAACAAGAGCGTGGGTTTTCTCCATTCCTTTCTGTAAGTCTCCAGTGGATTGCTTATGCCAGAGGTCAGCAAGGTTTACCTTGCCTGGGCTAGTTCACTCCAGTGGAGATCTGTCCATGGTCCTGCGATTTTCGGCATCGGTGTCTGCGCAGACGCAATTTCCGGCACTGCGGAAGCAAGTCCCCATGCCGTGCTGCGCTGCTCCAGTTTAGCGCAGCGGGCAAGGACTTGCTGAGCTGGCGGCTTGGTTTGGGGGCGGCTTGGGGGCTGGTTAAACAACCCCTGCGGGCCACGTGTGGCCCATGAGCCTTAGGTTGCCTACTCCTGGCTTATGCCAATAATTCTGTTTTCTGTTTGCATATAGATAACTTTTATAATTTTCAGAGCTGATGCATGGGCAACATACTTTTGCCCCAGGTTTGCATGTCTTTCCATTTGTGTGAGCTTTCTTTTCTTACCTAGTAAGGTGTTTATCCACATCAGCCTCAGAATGTTCCTTTGAGATCTATTTAAAAGGAACAGGTTTTGAGTTCATTTTGCAGATTTCATTGTTTTTAATACATTGAGAGAGGTGCACTAAATTCTCCCTAAGCCCATGGTAGTTTTCTTTTATCCTTCAGAAGGTGTGTATGTGCAAGGGACTTGTAGCATGAAACAAACTAAGAAACCTGCAAGTGGCTTTCTGCATGTAGGAAACAAGACCACTAATGACCTATTTAGGAATGCTTTTGATAGTAATCTTTTTCTTCTTTTTTTAAGAAAAGAGAAAGAAAAAAACTAGTAAGATTTCTCCTAGCTTAGCAGTTTCACTAGAGAGCAAAGTGAAAAATTCCCAGCCGGGCAGAAAACAGCTAAATCTTTTCCTTCCTTCAGCCAGTCAGTGAAAGGCCTTTTCTTGCTGTTCAGAATAGAGTACTGAAGACATGCTGTTTTGAACATCAATAAAGGGACTTTCACTTATTTTCATTTTTCTTTTTGTAGAAAGAGCACTTCTTTTGCACAGGTTCGTTTGAGATTTTAAGGATAGCAAAGCACACACAAAAAATCAAACCAGGCCTGCATATCTGTCATTGCAATGACCACACCAGGAAATACAAGGTAGAAGGATGTTTATTACTGAATTAATCCCCACTCATATAAACACATCAATATATTATTTAAGATTGAAATATGTTCCAGGCATAGAAGTTCATAACTCTCATATAAATACATCAGTTCTATATTCTAGGCATCAGCTATTTTTCTCTCCATTGAAAGGATCAGAGTATGAATAAAAAATAAATAAAAAAGCATGCTTTAAAACACAGTATGATTTGGAAATTTTTTGTCTTAGCATCCAGTGCACTTGGAAATATTCCAACTCTGAAAAAATATGACAGTTCTGCACTCAGAAGGTAGTTGAAACTATGTCAGCCATATGCTGATTATTTGGTGTTAGAGCTTTTATCAGCTCCTAGACTTTGGGTCAATATACTAGTTTACACTATATATCTGAGTATTTTTAATGGCTTTTTCATGCAAGTTTGCTCTTCTGCTCTTAGCTAAATATCTGGGGAGGTAACTAGAAAGTATGGGGTGATATTTTGGTGATCTGTAGCAGAGTTTAGAAACTGTGTTATGCAAGATCTGGAGAATCATGCTGTGCTGTGTCAGGTCCCCACCATTTCATATGTAAATTCTCATCTTTCTGGCCAACTCTGTTATGTCACTGCATCACATAAAGTGGATGGGAGGAAAAATATTAAAATGATGCATGACTGCAAGTACCACAACCATCTACAGGTGGACCAGGACCAGCAACCTTAAAGCTGAAGCTAAGCAGCTCTGATCAATCCCTGTGTAGGAAACCTCTTGGTAATCCGGTATATACTGGAAGGCTAAGTTACACCTACTGTTAGTTATTGAGGCAGAATATCTTTAAATCACAGATGTGGCACAAACCACTTGAAGTTGTTCAAGCAAATGCAGCTCTCTTTACTGTTCGCAAGTTCATTAGCTTTATGATAATTAACCAGGTGACTTTTCTCTTATACCACATACTACAATTAGATATGTGATTGTTAAAAATGTTCAGATTTCCATATCTGTATGATGGCATCATCATACTTCTACTCAGACATACCTTTTTGTTACCATGGGTTTGATCCTGAGGCTGCCAAGATTATAATTGTATTCCCTGGAATGTGAAGGAGGGAAAGATGAGTTAGAGCAGTAATTTTTGTTTGTGTGTTTATACAAAAGCTTTCTCATTAAATGTTCATCCACTTCTTTTGCTGCACCACACAATGACAACATAATTATATATTTGGGACCCTGCCTCTATGTTACTATGGAAATAAATGTGGTGTCTTGAATAACATAAGTATAGCATGTGTAAGAATGATAAATTGGTTCTTGTGGTGAAAACTGATAAATGGGGGAAAGGCTTCAGATTTTGTAGTTAGTCCGTTTTGTTAGGTGCAAAGAGCTTTGAGAACACATTTCTTCAGCATAATTTTGGAGAAACTTTCTTACTTATTATTGTTTCAGCAGAACATCACTTCGGTACCTGTTGAGCAGATCTAATGAATTGTAAGACAAGCTGCCACACTTTGAAACGTAGGGGTATATCTGCCTCACTCATAACACTAGAAATCAGGGTCATCCAAAAATATTTAGCTGTCTCTTCCCCTTAAGTGAAGCATATCATAGGCAGAGTCTGGATCCAACCCATTCTCTTAACATGTTGTTTCGGGATAAGATCAAATATCTGGGATAAGATCAAATAACTCAGATCTTTTTAAAACATTGCTGCTATTGTAATGGCGATTATTGATTTCTTTCCCATCCTTCACCTTGAGGTCCCATTGCAACTTTCTGTGCTTTTGGAAGGGGAGGATGGCTTTAGTTTAAAATAGATAAATGTTTGCATTAAGGACAGTTATAAACTTTGGAATATCTCTAAAGAAGTACTTTGCATTCATCTAGTAAAGTACAGTGGATGAATGCATGTGCAAAATGAGTGATTTTAATTCTGCAGTTATTTTAGCTGATCTGGAGGTGCTCTATACATTGCGTTTGTTTCTCAGAGAAAGCTTTTGATTTCTAGCTCATTTTCCTCTGGTTTACTCTCTGTATCATATTTATGCAGATAGTACTAACTATCTACACCTTTGTAATGGCCCTTGGTCTTTTACATTTTTTTCTGCTGTAGCCCCTTTTCCACTTTCTTCTTGTGCAGGTTGCTCATTTTGAATGATATCCAACATCAGTTTCCTTCCTCTCTGCTCCTGTGCCACTCCTGCCCTTCACCCCAACAAATCTGTTCCACAGTCCCCCAACTCTCTAAAACAGATTTGGCAGGACCATGAGGGGCTGCAGGGAAGAGGGAAGGAAGTACAAATTCTATTGCATGAGCAGAAATCTGTTCCGTTAGGGGTGGGTACAATTACATATCACCCTTTTTCTGTTACATAACAGAGTTTATATAATTCTGCATCCCCCTGGCATTTAAACCTCAAGTTTTGAATGAGGTACATAGCATTACTCTTGGCTGAGTAGTGTGGGCTGCAGATTACATCTTTTCCCTAGAATTGCTTGTTGAGTTGTTGATGTCATTCATCTTTACAGCTAGTGCCTGTGATTTAATCCTAACATGTAGGAAAAATTGCTGAAATATATCAGCAGTCTGAAAACAAAGCAATCTTTTGTCAAGAGTCGACAAGTTCTGAAGTGTGTATATTCACTGCTGATTTCCTGAAGCAGAATCGTGGCTTTCATCTGCTTTTAAACAACATGAGACATAACTCAAGGAAGCCATTTGTGACACAGAAACAGATTTTGTTTGCCTTGCAAATAATTTATAAGTCTCATAATTCATTTGTGTGGTATCAGTGCTCATTGTTCCATAAAAGATGCAGCTTATGAACCTTTTCTTATTTTAAGAGAGAGATTTCAAGTTTTACAATTTGAATAACAGCAACATCAGATAGGAAGAATATTTCAAAGCAAAAATGTTTCCAGATGGGCATTTTGTCATCTATGCAGTACAAGCTTATCAATACAAACATAGACTCAGACTGGGGCAGAACTATAAAATTCTTGCCTGCTTTCCTGAATTTAAATATCCCATCTGTTGTTATTCCAGGTGTTCAGTTTTTTTCCTGCCTACATGACTTAATTGGGCAAACTTGGTACTTGCCTTTTAGTCATCTGTTTAATTTGCTCTGTTAACTCAGGTGCTAAGGGAACCTGACTGCAAATGCAATAACTTAACTTGCACGTATTCATTCTTAATTTACAATGCTACCCAGATATTTCCTCTTGAATTGGGGAGTATAAGACAATGAAGATCAGTAGTCTGATGGAGAGCCAATGCAGCCTTTAAATAGAAAACATGGCCCCTTTCACTCTTGTTCTCACAATTGTTTTTGGCATTGCAGGAAATATTCATGATAAATTGTAGTCAAATGCAGCATTCATATGTAACAATAAATACTGGTTTCCTGCCATATGAAAATTAGCCTAAACAAGCCTTGGTATCACCCACTCCCCTCCTCATGAGGAGGAGATTAGAAAAAAATGCTCTTGTTTTTATATAGCCATAGTTTAGCCTTACACCTGAACCGTAAACTGTGCTTAACTTTAATTATGGTTTGTTGAAACAAGCTAGCCCCATAAGCCAGTGTTTCAGCTGAACTGTAACTGTAAGTGATTTTTTTAAGGGTTCTTATCCAGACTCCGTATTTTTTTTAGATATATATCAAAGTATACATTCATCTTCGTGGCCATTGGGTTGCATGTAATCTTGAGGCACATAATCTTGGTTCTTTCTTGCGAAATAATTGTTTTTGGCATTGCAGGAAATATTCAAGAAGTCATTCTTCAGGAACACTTGGAGAAGGAAGATGAAATTCTAGTGTCCTTGGCTGGATTGAAGCAGGTATATCTTTTGACAAAATGAAGATTCTATGTATAAAAATTTTTGAATGGCACTTCTATAATTTATGTGCTTTTTTCTGAACTTTGCATTATTCAGGATTATAATTGCTGAACTTTAATAGTTTGTTGAGATTTATTATGATAGTGAGCAAAAGAAGAGTCTGTGGAACTTACTGAAATAATAATGCTGGTAGACAATTCTGACTTTCAGTTTCTTCTTGCTGCTGTGAGCTAAAGAAACAGTAGCCAGAGTAAAAGGCCACAACTTTATCAAGCAACATGGCAACCAAACTCAAATTACCCAAGGCCATTTCAGAGGTAATCTAGCCAGCCCCAATCGAGTCCTCCAGGGCATATCCATGATAGGCCAAACCATTTTAATAATGAATTCCTTCACTAACAGGACCCCCAGTGAAACACCAGGAACCCTGTTGATTCTGTATTCTCTTGTCATCAAAATTAGAATCATAGAATTGTATAGTTGGAAGGGACCACAAGAGTCATCTAGTCCAACCATCTGCAATGCAGAGATCTTTTGCCCAAAGTGGGGCTCAAACCCACAACCCTGAGATTAAAAATCTCATGCTTTACTACCTCAGTTATGACAAGTAAGACTATAAGCAATTGAACCAATGAAATGACCTTAAAACTTCAGGTCAGCAAGAACAATAACCTTAATTTGACCAATTGTGCCCTTTGGAATTCCATAGAAGAGCAAAAATAAACAGCCAGTCAGGTTGGCATGTAAAGATTACATTCTAGTGCCCAGTAAAGGGGATTTTTTTAAGCCCATTATGTTCCAACAGGGTGAGTGGCTAGATGAAATGTCTGACTCTTCTCAGTGTTCCAGTTTTGGTTTGCCTTCAGTTTACATAGCCTCACCTTGCAAGATCTCACAGTATCTCAAGCATTACTATCATTTCCCAGAAATCTTGTGAGGTCAAGAACTCCAAACCTTGCAAATTTCTAAGGGAATTTGGCAACTTGGCCCCTCCCTGCCCACTTTCTTCCCACACTCACCACCACTGAGGGATGAACGGTGGGGGACCTTTTAATGGTGCCCAGTCTTTGTTCTTCATATTCTAATGCCATTGCAGTTGTAAGATCATGCACTATGGGTGCTTTCAGTTAGATTATCAGTTTCAATATATGTCTGTTCTCTCTTGCAATTTTTCAGTATTTTGTGGAATTGTAGGCTGGATCCAGAAAGGGCTCAGGTCGATACACTATGGCACGTTTCAATGTTTTAATGGCATCCAGGGGTACTGATGTCCTTTTAAATGCATTTCCTTTATCTCATCATTCTTGCTAGAAGATTCAGTGGCACCCTAATGCTTTTACTCAGAAACACAGTTGTCATTTTTATAAATGTCTTCAACAATTTAGGCAATCAATGCATAAGAAGATTGATTCCGAAGAGGGGACTGGCTTTAAGTGGCAGATGTTGCAATGCAGCTAAATTACTTTCCCCCCTCTTGATAAACAGATCAAGGATATTTTGAAAGGTTCCTTACGTTTCAATCAGAGCCAGTTGGAGGCTGAGGAGAATGAACAAATCACAATAGAAGATGATCACTACTGTTCCAACAATCAGACCAAGGAGACAAATGAAGCTGTAGAAGAGCCTTCAGTTGCAAAGGAGCCCCTGCCTCTAAGGAAGCAGGTAAAGTGCATGCGTTTCAGAAAAGGAAGGTCTGGGGTACTTTTTAAAGCCTTAAAAAAAGCAGACAGGAAAGATAAAGGCCTAATCCAAGGCAAGCAAGCCCCATTGAATTCAAGTCCCAATGGATTGCAGGCTTAGAATTTCATAACAACAACAACAACAACAACAACAATAATATTAACAATTAAGTCACTTTCAAAATAAATAAGTAGCAATAGTAGCTTCCAACTCCATTTGAACCTTTTTTCATACGAATCTGAATTTATCTTTTAAACTTTCTGATGGCCACCAACATGAATGGCTTTTAGGTGTGACAAGTTCATGGACCATAAGACTATTAATGGCTACTAGTCATGGTGGCTGTATACAGTGGTATCTTGGTTTTCCAACAGAATGTGTTCTGAACCATTCGAAAACCAAAGTGCAGCTTCCGAAAACCAAAGTGCAGCACCGGACGCTCAGCTTCCGAAAATCATTCGAAAACTGGAACACTCACCTCCAGGTTTCGATCGTTCAGGAGCTGATTCGTTTGAGAGCCAAGGCGTTCAGCTTCCGAAGTACGACTGTACTGCTTTCAGGATCAGAGACAAGCACCCCTCTGAAAACCTGCTGCTGACAAGCACAAAATGAGAAAGCAATTGTCTTTGTATCCTGCTTCTGGGGTTCCCACTTGGGAAACAAGGGCTGGACTTGATGGGCTTTAGTCTGATTCAGCAGGGCTATTATGTTCCCCCTTTGGGGCAAATATCTTTGGGATGTCCTATTCTAATCACAGTTACTGACTTTCAGATAAAGCATTTGTCTCTGTTCCTTCCCTGTTTTCTGGTATATATGAAGATAAGCTGTGATATGCTAAAAGATGCAGAATCTGACTATTGAAACCTAGGGATTTCACAACAGAAGATGAACATTTTTTGCCATTGCTTGACTCTTCTTATTGTCTCTGTCTTCTAGACTATCATTATGCAATAATATTTGACCAGCTACATTGCTGCACTATGTTTATCGTCAACTCTTTTGAACCACTCTACTCTTTCAGCTGTTTGGGCTTTTCCTTCAAATCTGTATGGTAGCTTTATCTCTTGTAAACGCTCATTCAGGTTATGAAGGGAAATAGCTCTATCTGCCTTCCATGTAGCAAGTGGTTGCATTAGACTTTTCTGTCTTATACATAAGCTGATACATCCATTTCAGAGTAGACGATCATATACAAGCCAAACAGCAGCAATAACATTCATTTATTTTTAATCCACTCTTCAATAGAGCAATCTCAGGGCAGGGCACAATAATATAAACACTATAAATTAAAATATAAGAGTTTCAACTACGGTAATCAAACAAACAGATAAAATGATAAGATGGAACATTTGGAAAACCCGTAGCGTAGCTATTTTCTTGAGCAATTCCCATTTATTTCAAGAATTTTACAGTGGAAACTCCCAACAGGCTGTCCCTGTAATAAAGGAATCCCTAAATGTTATGGCTGTTTGACATTGGTTTTCCAATGCTATGTATCAGTCAACTCTTTTCACACATACAGTTTAAAAACCCTTTTTCTGGGTAGTCCTCTTTAATACGTGTGCAACTTTTAAAGAGAAGGAGTTTGTCTGTCTCAGTACCTTGGAGAGCCCTAACTCAGGATTCACTTTAATATAGCCTTTTAATTAAAAAGTTAATATGGTGAGCACTTCAGAGACTTCTGCCTAAAAGCTGACCAGAGAAGTTCATGACCAAAGAAAAAAATACAGAATCAGAAAAGTTTTACAAAACATAGTTTAGTTTACACTATGGAATAATATTTTTTTAAAACTGTTTTTTAAAAAAGAATTCTGCATAATTGGTCAGGTATTAAACATGCCTAAGAGAATAATCCATTCAGTGAAAATAGAAACTTGCAGGATTGGCCAATAGCCTCCCAGCAGTCTTGTCAATACAATACAAGTCAAGCTGGCACTGCGCCCCATCCTGCTTCAGTTTTGTCTGTAAATTTGGGATTTGTGGACATGATCTACATTGTCACCCCTGCAACATAGTATAATAGTTTTCTGTGCATAGCTGTCCAGCTATGGGATGTTGCTGAACCATTGACAGGGCTGGGATGCAGACTGCAACCCAAAATCATATTAACCAGTGTCAGTATTCAGTGGTAAATCTACTCTGAATCTTCAACGTTTTAGGACCAGGTCAGCTTTGAATATCTGTTTGAACATGAAAAATGTGATTTCAAAATGTTTTGAACTGGATTCATTGCCGTGATGGCTCACATGTTCAGAAGCCTATAACTGGTTGGGTGTTACTGAGAATTGCAGTCTGCCTCCAGGATATCTAAGGAAGAAGTTACTGTTTTCCATATGATGACTTCTGTTTAGAAAACAGGCTATGTCTGCTTACTTATTGTATGACATTGTGAAAGCCAGGTCTACAGTAAGTAACAGGCTCCACTTACATACTGGACTTCCAATGTCAGCATACTTTTATTAGCAGAGAATGTAGGAAATTGCACACCATTTAATGTAAATTTCATCTCATAAAATAGCCAATTGATACTTTTCACAGAACAGGCGGGTGTGGCTTAATAGGATTTCCTGTTTATGAATGTTAGGATAGATGCTTTCTGCATTTTTTTACATTTAAGGCAAATATGATAGCCTTTCTATTACTTACTTTGCAAATAATATGCAATGGGTCTAGGTGTTTACTAAGCAATTACACCTGCTTTTCAGTCTGCTGAAAGCCCTGCTAAACATTTTAGAGACAAAATGAGAGCAGAATACTAATGCATAGTATGAAACCCTCATTCACTCAAATAGATTAAAATAGCCCTTTTGAATTTCATGGAGGTAGGGTTCTATCCATCATGCTGTTGTGCAGATTTATATAAAGGCCACCATCTTTACAACTAAAGTGGGAAAATGCTTGTTCAAATAGGTAAAGACAGCGAGATCTGACTCTGGCAAGCTGTCAGATGTTTGGGTGGAGTGTGCTCCACTAGAAATTGAAGCTAGATTGCCCTGAGAAGGGGGGGGGGTTGTGTTGCTTTTTGTGTACTTTCATGGAACAAGTGTAAGACGGTGAGCATTGCACACAACTTTGGTGGGGAAGAGGTTTCTCCATGCTGTGAGCTTGTCAGCTGGTGTTCACAATGCCACTTCCCACAAATCTAGATCACTGTATCTATTCATTGCCAAGAATATGGAACTTTTCGCTCCTGGGGCCAACTGCCCAAGGGTTGCACTGAACAGGTGGCACTTTTAAGCGTTGCTGCCTGGCCAGTCAGCAAGATTCTGCCCTATCGACACGGTCACTGATTGGGCCGTTTGAATGGGCATTTTTGGCAGGAATCCACCGCTAGATCCTCAGGCTATGGGGAATTTCCTGCAATGGTCAAGCAGAGGGAATTGAGGCTGGAGCACGAGGAACCGCAAATGTCGCCCCACCCACCCTGGGAAGGTGGTGAGCAGCCATTGCCAAGAATACGCAGCTTACCATAAGAGCAGGCAGACACTAGGACTGAAGTATGGTGTTTCAAGCTAATTACTATGAGGGGGGAAAGAGGCCAAATTATATATCTTGCTTGGCCTGTCTCAGTAGGAATTCTGCCTGAAATTGGGCCCTGGGTATCCTGAATTAAAAAAAACCCCTGAGGTGCTAGATAGTTGTTTGTCCTCTTCTTTTTCTTCCTTTTTCCTTCTCTTTGTGGGATTTATAAAGGAACAATCTTACTTTAGACAAAAATTACGTAGATCGGTTCCAATATATATAACATGTACTGCTTACTATGTTTTTTATTTCAAAAAATGAGAGGAAAGGAAAACATTAATACCTCTATTTCATGTCTTCCTCTGTTCTGCTTAGCTTTAACTTTAATCAGAAGCATTTAAAGAAATAAAAGCTTCATAATGAATTTTCAGAAGTTAAATAAGTGCTATGTTCAATGGCCTATACAGAAAGGACACCAGAGCCAACTTTCAGTTTTAATGAGGCACGGTGTCGTATTGTGATGTCTTTAGGTCAGGCTGGAAGAATTTTATGAGTGCAGCATAAGCTTTTAAAATATTGCCATGAATTAATTGGAACATTTTAATGCATCAGTATCTCTCCTATCAAAGGCAGTAGTTCTAAACTTAGACTAGGCTGCAAGTCTCTTTGAGAAGGCATGCTTTGGATTGAGCTTTTTCTGTATTAGCACCAAAATAACTACCTTATTTTTTGCACCATAACACTCACTTTTTTCCTCCTAGAAAGTAAGGGGAAATGTCTGTGCGTGTTATGGAGCGAATGCCTGTGGGTGGCGGGGGGGATCTGCTGCAGTCATGAGCAGAGGATCCATGTTCCCCTTCTTTCCCTCCTCCGTGGTTACAAAGCATGGATCCACATGGATCCTCAGGATTTTTGCATTGAGCTACTCCAAACTCACTGTCAGATCACATGTCTGTGGCCACAGCATGAACCACAAAAATCATATATCCACTATTTCGTTTAGAATATTTTTTTTCTTGTTTTCCTCCTCTAAAAACTACGTGCGTGTTATGGTCTGGTGTGTGTTATAGAGCGAAAAATACGGTAATTGTATTGCTTTTTCTACCCCTCTGTAGTAGTATGTGTGAGGCAGCTTCAAGGCTGCTACCTCTACTCCACTGTATTGCAATTATGTTGTGGCTGCTCACATTTCAGCTTCTTCTTTTTAACCTTGGGCTTATTCATGCATAAAGTTTATTTTGCCATGATTACCTGCACACAGTAATTTCCATACAGATGCAACTGTGTTGAAATAGCCAGTAATCCAACGTGTAGATTAAAAATGATCCAGCATTTTTAAGTCCCATAGATTTCAGTGGCAGAGTTAAACAGATACTTAACTCTCTTCCAATAAGATTAGTGAGGTTGAAAGTTCTAGAAGGAAGGGGGGCTGAACAGCCTTTCCTAGTCATTATAGACTTTATTAGAGCTAGGACAGTTGAATGCTTGATAGGAAGATTGGGACTTGACCTTTCTCTATAAATCTATTGGAGATGCCAGTTGTCATCTCATAATAAACAAAAGCAATTGTGTATGTCCAGTTGTGATTTGCAGAGAGATAGCTTTACAATAGGGAGGGGAAAGGAGTGAATTAATTTAGAATTTTACAAAAGGCCAATTATTTATATGATCAACACATTATGTTTTCTTTATACGAGACCAGGGAACGGTCAAAATTCAGAGCCACTGTAATATTTACAATTAGGGCTGGCAACACACAAGGGAGAAATCAGCTTCAAATGTTTTGTTTGCTGGATTTAAATTTAGAGGGATTTTCATATTCTTTGCATATTGCATCAGTATAGATGTTGAGTAGAGGAAGTTTCAGCAGGATGTTGCTTTTCCTCTCTTGGTAGTACAGTTGTCACAAAAGCTGCGTCTGGTGGCATTCTCTCCTTTGCAAATTTTAAGGGAGAGGGCTGTGGTGCTTTATAAGGTGGAATGGAAAGGGAGAGGTTGCTTATTCTAAAACTGCTGTTGAAATGAAGGGAAGAACAGCTGATTTATCTCTCTTCCATGATTTGGTTCCAGACACCCCTTCTTTCACGGCTCACTACTTTACCACTTCCCTTCAGCCACACCAATTCCAGTCTTTCATCACCTGCCCTGCAGACGCAGAGAGCCCGTGTGGTGTGGTGGCTAGAGTGTCAGACTAGGACCTGGGAGACCAGGGTTCAAGCCCCACTCAGCCACGAAGCTCACTGGGTGACCTTGGGCCAGTCACTGCCTCTCGACCTTCTGTACTTCTCAAGGTTATTGTGGGGATTAAATGTGAAGGGGGAGAACCACGTATGCCAGCTTGAGCTCCTTGAAGGAAAAAGTAGGATAGAAATGCAATCATTCAATTAATAAAAGATAGCAGAAATTCATTTTGTGATTCTTACACAGGACATTATTTCTCTCCCCCACCCTTGGATAGCTAAAGGGAGGCACACACATGAACCCATAAAACATGTAGACCTGTTTAAAACATAATATCAGGAGGGTTTGCTTGCTTTAATGCATGATGGAAATAACTTTCATCCTACTAGAAGATACTCATCAGGAAAAAATGTTCCAAGAAGCCATATGGCACTGGGTGTAAGGTTGTTAACTTTCAAAGCTACTGGAAGTATAATTCTGCCATATTCCATTTATTCAGTAGCAGCAGCAGATGGGAGAAAACATGCTTCATATCACTATGAGTTTTCCTAATCCGAAACTGGCAGAGGAAGGAGTGGGGAGATATTTCACCTCTGAAAATAGCAGCGTCAGAAAAAAAAAGCTAGCATGTTGCAAAGGATGCTGCAGGGAGATATATCTATATATGGCTTGAGAAACTAATTACATATAAATTTAGAGATTTCATTTTAAAATGTGTAATGGAGTTATTTTAAGATATATATTTTTGCAATGCTGTAGTTAAGAGTCAAGCCTTATTAATGGTTTGCACTTTGCAAGTCACCAAGAGCCGCTTCTCGTGTGACATTTTTTCTGCACAGGGATAACTGAAATGTACAGGATCATTGTAAAGAATGTGCGGTTGCTAATGTGTCAGGAAACCGACAGCACAACTGTGGTGGGAGGGAGAATTGCATATGCTTTGAACGGCTTCGGTCCTGTGCATGCTTATGAGAGGGGACACCTTGACCCTATAAACCCACTCATCCTTTATAATCTGTAGGAGAGACCCTGCTTAAAGAGTTCCCAACTAGGACCCCCTTTATATGTGCCTTTACTGGTGTGTACCTTTAGACGGGAACGATGGTGGAGGCAACGGCAGCCACGCCTGTAAAGGTATGTGCTAGCTGTGATGATGGATGCAATAGGCGTGGTATTTAAAAATGGATTTTCTGACATGCTTGCCTGTTCAAAATTCTTTTGTTTCATAGGCTGTGGGCGATTCGAGTGGAAACTCTGCTAACAGGCACACGGATGACTATATTCTACTTTCCAAAGAGGAGGGAGGGAATGTTTGTCCTGCTCCGGAGCATGTGCAGACTGTGCCAACCTGCAAGGATGTGACCACCAAGAGTGAGGTCCCGTGTCACTCTTCCTTAGCCTTTTCTGATCCATTGATGGGGTCCATATCTGCCTCTTCTAGTAACCTCAGTTCCAGCCCTGATGACGACAGCAGCAGCAACAGCAAGGATTCTGATTTCACCATTGTTAGTCCCTTGGAAATTTAAGTCAGCCTGTGAGGTCAGCTGTGGCACATTGGCGTGTGCATCTGACACTTCATGGGACTGGGAAACTCATAAAACCAGAGCACAGATGTGGTAAAGGCAGTCCTTTTTCAGCAAGGAAATCAAGACAACAATTATGTAATGCCTTTAAAACATGCACATGTGAATCTCAAGATCTAATGTATACTAAAGGTACTCGTAGGTTTACTTTGTTAGCAACTTCTTGGAATATTGAAGTAGTAGCTCATAGTCACTCATCATGTAGAATAACATGAAGTATATAATCTCGTGGGTAGACAGGTGAGCATCTTTTCCAAATGTGGGGAAAGCAATTGAGCATCAGCTTGGATCCTGGCAGATTGATTTGGTCTCAGGAGAGAGCGGGGGCACTCTTCCTCAAAACATGGCAGCTAGAAAATCTGAAAAGTAAAGGTTTCAGAATTGCATCCTGGTTGCATCTCAGGCACTAAGACAATTGGCTGGCCTCCTGAACCATTTCCTGAAAGAAAAATAACATGCTGAATTTACATACAGCAGAAACCACTAACTGCTGTTCCTATTGCGCAAAAATTTCCTCGTAAAGTAATACAAATTAGGTGCACATTAGTTGCTTTGAAACATTTAGACTTTAGTCTCCACTAGATATAAACTTGTCTCCCAATGAACAAATTGTTGTTCATTGTTGTATATTATAGCCTGGAACATATTTTTATAGCTATTTCAGGACGTCCACAATCCCCTCAGGCCCAAGACCAAGGCTCATTGTAGGGCCATAATGCAGCAGTGTTCCTTAGCCATGTAGAAACGGTTCCCTGGCACTCGTTTTTAAAATTTAATTTGATATGAGTGCGCATGATTATGTATACATCACCACATGGTTCCCACAAAGGGCAACAAGATTCCTCATGCTTTTTTATACCAAGGATGTCATGTTTAGCTCAAATTTCTCTCACAATCTTAAGAGTAGGCTAAAATATTTCCCAAGGCTGATTCTGGCCTTGGGATCAACTGATATGTCAGTGTCCATAACTAGTGCATAGTAGATAATGCTGATGGAGTAGTGGCTATATTCTTTTCTAGCTTTTAAGAGTGTAAGTTCTCAAGGTAGCTCTTCCTCTAAATCTCACACCCAGCATGGCCAATTTGAGAATAACCAGAAGGTAACTGCAGAGAAGAGCTACAAATCAGGGAAGCACAGGTCTGAGCGATTTTCCCATGGACCTGCTCCTTGCCCAGGGAAAACCCAGCCTTTAGCTCTAAATCAGAACAAACAGCAATCCATGGAAAACCCAAATGCTGTTTTCTCCACTTGAGCGCTAAAGAGTGGTTTTCCCCAGGAAAAAGCAGCAGGACGATAGGAAGTATGCATATGCCCAGAGACATATTCTGTTCTCAAAAGGTTTCTTCCTTTCCCAGGCAGCCAGTGCTAAACATTATGTGCAGCATTTCTCTAGATTACACTGACTAATGTCACTAAGCCAGGGGGAGAATTTGGGTTTATTGAGATTAATAGCCCCAAGTGTCTAACCTGTTGGGGATCTTTCACCTTAGCAATACATTGGTGTTGAACAGACTGAATTTCAGGAAGCTTCTGGCTTGCAGGTTGAACACAAGAAAACTCAAGGGATGGGTGGGTGGGTGTCCAGATATGCCCACCCATCCATTTCTGTATGCAAATATGCCATGACAGGGTTTCTCCAGATCTCATCAAGAGATAGGCAATGGTTCAATGATGTCAGCCTCCAAAAAGACCTAATTAGCCCACTAATCTGGTCTCTCTCTTTTTAACTGCATTTGGAAAGGAAACCTCTTAGCTGTGAAATGTGTAACCCATTAGGGAAGGAGTTTTTACTAAGGGTGTTGTGCTTCATTATATATAATTATCTCTAGGACCCTTGGAGGTAACAAAGAAACAAAGGTTGCTAATATTAATGCAGCGTATTCCCCCCCCCCAAAAAAGCCTGTTCTGTAGACAGATGCTGGTGAAAGATATTTTCAAAGATTTATCTCAAAGTAAGACACTTTGCTTGTATGCTTTAGTTTTCTTTTCCAGACACACACACAGAGTATAACCACCGTCATGAAATGCAGTTGCATGGTAAGTGATAGGGCATGAAGATGTTAATGGTGATTAATTGCAGTTGTAACTTACATTAAGAATCCTTCTACCCCTCCATCTGCAGCATGAGTCATGCTAAACCAAATTGCAACCTGACCCCAAAGCATAAGTGTTACATAACGGATAGCTCTCCTGAGAATACTGCCCCTGTCATTTTGTACAGGGGATTGTGGGGTTGGGAGAAGCGAGCGGTGGGAGGTTATTGGATCATATTTTGCCCTGAAGTGAATGGAATAAGATTGTTGGGTGAGCTTGCTCTCCCAGAAGTCAGTTGAGCTAGCAATACAGTGGTACTTTCCCCTAGTTTTGTATCCATGAATGTTCTGGGCAGATGACCCAAATTAACAGGTAATAGCTATTGAACAGTGGCAGGTTCATATTTATATATTCAGACACTATCAAGTAATTCTTCACAAGATGATGCCCTTGTGCCTTGTAAAAGTGGGAGTAATACTGAGAGGTTGTGTGAAGAGCTTAATAGCAAATACAGTTTGTGAGGTCACATTGCTGTTCTTCTGCATGCAAGACCTAAAACATACTGTGGTTATGCAAGGTTTCTGTGCCAGCTTAGCACTCCTTCTCATTTAAACTTACACAGTAAACCACCTCAAGATTCAGCCTTTATGGCCTGTGCAGGCTTTTTTAAAATATAATTTCCTTTGAATTTGTAAGGATAACAAAAAAGGATTACACAGCTTGTGATTAATTTTGATCCTTTAAATGTGACTAACCTTTCTGTTTAGATTTGTTTCTGTTATAAAACAGGGGAAAGTGCCATTTAGAGTAAACAGCTATTTAAAAGTGGGAAACCAAGTACGAGAGAAACTAGAGTATGGTATATCATCTTTCATCAGGTGGGGGTGGGGGAGTTCATAGAGGGTTTTGTAATTTTGTTATGATTGACCCTTGCTGTCTACAGATAATTCAGGGATCATATTATTTTTCTTGTCAGAGCTGTCTTAGTGCCATGAAACAATGCAATTTATTTTATTTTTTGCTATTATCTTGCTGGGATTTTTTTAAAAAACACGTTTGCTATAATTAGTATAACTTTACTTCCTCAATGCCTGTAATTATCTCTGGTTTCAGAAAATAAACAGTGCTTTACGGAAGGACAGCAATGAAACCTAAGTAACTCCATTAGAGGAGTCAAAATTGGTAACCCTATGACACAGTCTATCTCAATGCTATACTGGAATTTGCTTTTTTTGATAATTCTGGAAGTGCTTGGTTTTGTATGCATGTCGATCCAGAATGACTACCATAATATTAGGTCATAATAATCCCATATTGCCTTACATTTGGATTCCTAGATGGTACTTTCCACTTTAAAGTACCAGTTTATTATGTCTTCTAAAATTAACCTACTCATCTTGTTCATGGGTATCAGTAATCTAATAGAAAATAATATGCAGTATAAATGGCTGCTTATAGTACTAATACGTGGAACTCTAAAATGTTTTTTTTTTCCAGCCTCTTCGCCACATGGCTCTTTCAAGTCTGTTGCATGTAATGTCCACATTACTGCAGAATGATTATGACCATATAGTGACTGGATGTTCATTTTTAGCTGTGGAAATTTGTATCTTTCCTCTAGAAGAATGTCTGACGTACTTTATTAAAGAAAGAACTAATATGCAGACGCTTTGCATTTCCCCTTGAGTTTTTCTTGCGAAAGTGACAATTATCCAACATTGTCTCCCTTAAAAAAGGGGGGGGCAGTTCCTACCCAACTTCTTGGAGTTCAGTCTGCTCAAAAGGTAGGAAAATTAGATTTGATCTAGTACCGTCAAGTTATTGTGTGCCTCATGTCCTCCTGTGAGTCAGCAATTTGTATAAATATGTGTATGCAAAAGAGAAAGTTAAAGGAATGTTCCTGTACACAAAAGTATGGAAAGAGCAATCCATTCTGGCCCATCTCCATACAAATCCTCATTGCATTGTGTTGAAGAGCAAGAACATAAGGACAATCAACTAGATAGAAAACAAAGAAACATTTGGAACAGAAACCTACCATCTTTGAGTGACAGTAAATGGTGTAAAACTGGGTGACAATGGAACTTCTAGTTTCTCTTCTCCAACCCTTTGCAACCCCTATCCATTTGTTCCAGGGGATTCCCTGAGCCCTGTAGTGTAGACTTCAGGGATGTGCAAGGGAAGAAAGAAGCAGACTCCCGCTGCATTGGATCTTATCCAGTATATCTTAAGATAGAAGTTGTTGAAGCCAGCAGCTAGCAGAACAACTCAAGTATAGCAGCTTTGCCATTGGGTAGGTACAAAGAAGCACCATTGACCACTCTCTTCCCAATTCAGAGAACTGTAGGGGTAGAAGGGATCATCTAGTCCAACCCCCTGCAATACAGGAATCGCAGCTGAAGAATTCTCGACAGATGATCATCTAACCTCTTGTTTAAAAACCTCCAATGAAGGAGAATCTACTACCTTCCCAGGTAATTGATGTTAAATTATTATTCAAGCTTTACAAACCCAGTTATAAACCTGGTTTCAAATTTTGGTTAACAGAAGAAATATAATTAGTGCAGTGTAAAAGTAATATTACCACCAAGGGCAAAGTACTCTTCGGAAAGAACCTCATGGAACTCAGGGCAGCAGGAAGGAACAAGGGATCTCACAGTACATTCCCAACAACCAGGGTTAGGAGTCTGAGAGCATGCCATCCAGCCTGGCTTCATAAGGGATCATACTGAGTAATGTGTAACACAGATGGTGTGTGCATTTTCTACCCCCTTCTATAGACACATCCAAGTGAAAAGCATGTTCTAATAATTGTTAAAGACAATCTGTTTCTGGGTGTGATGTCACCACCTGGATCCCCATGACTCTACCTTGTGCAGTGGGAAGGACAAGAATCCAAATAAGCCTATTTCAGGAAGATTGGGTCGCCAAACTATTTCTCAGGGCTGTTTTCTGAACTGAGCAATCCATGTAATGATTTTGCTGCCTGTGTTTATTGGTTTTCCTCTTCCTTCCTCCTTCCTTTTTCCTTTTGTGTCTTGCCTTTTTAAAATTGTAAGCTTGGAGGCAGGGACTGTGTTATTTCTGTTGATCTATTAGCCGCCCTGGGAGTTGTTTCTGCTTGAAAAGGGGCAGATAAATGCTTTGAAGGTATGAATAAATGAAAAATAGAGTACCGTTTTCTTAGAAAGATTAATGCGGAATACTAGGGCACGGTGCAGAGTCCCTTGTGTTGCACTTTGCAAACCATCTGAGCTCTAAATTAAAGACTTCTCATAGCTTCCTTCTAATGTAGGCCTGGTGCAAAGCAGTAACAACTGTTGGGTTTCAGTGCTCCTCTGAAAACAATGGACTGCTTAAATGGTGGCACAGCTACGTTGGTCAGCTTCCTGGCTTTTGAATGCCAAAGAGTTTTTTAAAGACTACTTTTACTGTTCTCCTGTGTGGGGCTCTCAAGTGTATACTTATGACAGTGATTAAACATGAAAGGTGTAATTTCGGAAACCAAACCTGCCTCCGTGCAGGATAGTAATCATCCTGCCTACCACAGTATGCTGTTCTCTGGAGGACAATCATCAGGGCTGTTAACTCTCTCATTGTACTTGCTAGCTAAAATTAGGGCCAAACTACACATTATGCAGGAGATCAATGAATGGATCACCTTTTCTTTCTTCCTTTCTTCCTCCCCCTTCCCTACTAAAATACAGCAATGGAAGCCTGTCTGGGTTTCTTGTGGGGTTTGTGTGTTAGCAACAGCAAGTCAGGGGCAGTTAGCCCTTTGCTCATCTCCTTCAGGATTCTCCTCTTCAAAATCCCTTGCCTAGGCTCCTGCTTTTCTGAGTAAACAGCAACTGGAGGGGTGCTCCTGTCTGGAAAAACAGCAGAGGCGGAAGGAAAAAATTAAACACCTCTTTCCACACCACTGTTCCAAAGAAACCAGCACTGCCCCACTGTGGGTGCACTCCAGTGGAAAAGAGGTTGGGATACCCAGACACAAATCTCCTGTGTAACCTGTAGCCTGGCCCTTTGAGGGAAGTGGAAGTCTCTGAGTAGGAAGTGCCTATTGAATTGCGTGTTGTCTACAATAAATTCTAGTGGCACCAACACGTAACATGATAGATGGTCTCAATAACACTTGATCCCGATGCAAGGAGGACAGGGACACCACCTGCTTCAGCTTATCTAGGGCAGTGGCTGAATTAGAAACGCACATGTTCTACTCCTCAGATATGGCAGCCTACTCTGGAATGGCAGTGCCCTGCCAGCAGGTGGCACGGTAGACTGGCACCAGATTCTCTCTATTGCTTACACCTCCAAATCGCAAGTTGAGTTTTATGAAAGTTCACTGCTAGTGATTTTGTTACTTGATACCTTAATGTAAAACACATTGTTGGGCTGTGAAGTATATATCCTAGGGCCAGTGCTGCTGGCACTGCAACTGAGACACAACGGGGCAAAAGGCTTGCAGTCTCTTCTTACAGTCCGTGTTCCACCCATGATCATGGGAGTGGGTGGAATGACCACTATGCCTGATAGTGATTCCTTGGAGGAATCTGCCTTATACCAGGTAAGGCCATCAGTCTCACCCACTATTGTCAACTCTGACTGGCAATAGCTTTCTAGGGTCCCACTTTCCCCAAGCCTAGTAAACTCTTGCCCACCTTTTGAGAAGGAGGTGGGACAGCTCTAGGACACTGCCAGTGCCCTCCTTCCTCCTTCCCAAAGCCCAGCACCTCGCTTGCCCAGCTTTGGAGTGGCAGTGCAAGGGCTGGTGTGTTGGTGTCAAATTTAGACTTCACTCCCACTCGCAGGCGCCTGCACACCACAAGGCAGTGTGTGGTCCGTGGGTTCCACACTAGCAGCCCACTTGGTATGAAAAGCTGGACCACCCTGCTTTAGGCCATGTCCAGAAAGACACTAGAGAACAGAAGGTGGCAGGTGTGCCTGGATCACTGGTGTTTGATTTAACTGAGTGCCAGGCTCCTGAACCCCTTTAGATGTGTAAAGGGGGTGGGGAAAGAGAAAAGGGTGTCTGGTGTTCCTAACTTTAGCCCTGTTCCCTGCTTTTCATCAGTCACTATTGCATGCCTCTGGTACTCGTTTGGGGGATCCCCAGGCTTGGATTCAGACCTTGCAATGCCACTGACTATAACCGAGCTATGATCCTCCCCATCATAAACAATCTGCTCAGCTGTTGGTAATAATGTTACATCAAGCCCAAATCCGCATGCAGACATTAAAAATAGTGTGAGCACTTCCCATACCCTTTTGCTGGGCAAGAAGGAGGGCTGTTTTCACAACAGATAAATGATGGCCCAGGAAATTAATTTTCTCCCACTTCCTCTAGTACTACAAATCAGTCTCTTTCTTTTGAGTTTTGTCTGACAACCATCCCCACGGCTCCCATGAGCTCTTCAGATCATCTTTGCATACCATGTGGCAGATTTATTGTATTGCAAATCTTGGCAAAACACATGGGTAGAGATTTAATAATGCCAGCATGACAGCAAACACGTTGGGTGCATTTTGCTGTAGCTGTAAATTTAATTTGCATGTGTGTCCAGACTTGGTGCCTTTGTTATCTGATAGAGTTAGGCTCTGTTGTGGATAACATCATTATTGAGAAATCAGTTCAGTTTATAAGCGGAACACACGGCAAAGTTTCAGCTGATGACAGGGTTCCTTGGGCTTGCAAATTGAATCAGGCCACTCTTGAGAGGAAGAAAAAATATCCAGAAATGGCTTAAAAACCAAATTATTTTCATCCATGTGCAACAAATGTATGAAACTATGGGGGAAAACCAAGAGATGTCTTTGAAAGTATTTAAAATAAGGGAGGAAAGTGAGAGCAAGTTTGGTGTAGGAGTATCAGACTAGGACCTGGGAGACCAGGGTTCAAATCCCCACTCGGCCATGAAGCTCACTGGGTGATTTTAGGCTCATCGCTACCTCGCAACCTAACCTACCTCAGAGGGTTGTTGTAAGGATCAAAAGAGGAAAGAGAGAACCATGGAAGCCACTAAACCTATTGGAGATAATTGTGGGATATATATGTGTGTGGGTAGATTGAGCTTCAGGAGAGGAGAGTGTTCTGCTTAAAGACATGGCTGATGTTTCAGTTTACTGTTTGTGTAGCCTTGAACTGTTCTGTGTTGCATGTGACCTGCTCAATGGATCTGCTTGCTAAGAAGCAAATACATTGCCTTAGCTTACCCCAAGCATCAGGCCATTTGCTTGATTTCATTATCTTCTTGGAGCAGTCAATGTTTGGTGTACCAAAGTCTTGACAGTTTAGCGCCTCCCAAATTGCCCATGAGAGAATGGGCTGTTTACACTCCCCTGAACAAATTAGTTTTCATCATGATCAGGGCTAATTCCTCAGCATGCCCAAAGCAAAGCAGTCCATGACTCAAGCAGAGCTATTGACCCATGCTGAGCTGGTGGTTTCTCATTTATTTTGAGAGACTAACTGGAGTCTCCTTCAACAAGAGAACTGAAATTGGCCACGTCCCTAGTCTGACCTTACTCATGCATGGCTTGCAAGTATGTACATTTCACCCACCATTTACCTCTTTCTTTCATGTCTTCTGGAAAGATTAGGAGTGATACATGGTGTTCCCGGAAGGCCATATTTGATCTTGGATTCCTGCTATGAAGATTAGGAAG